CCAATACCACGATAGTATTCAGATAGAAAACACATTCAATGGATTCGGGAAAAATTATTATGCTTTTATTTTAAATAGAGTGAACACTCACGCGTATATAAAAAAAAAAGCAAATCGAATATAAAACAAAAATACTTTGACGAAGTTTCAGATACAATGTGGGTCATCTTTTTTTTACATCTTTTTTATATAAATATTTGCAATTTGAAGAACAATTGGGAATAAATTCTTCTTGAACAAAATCTGGAAGTGTCGAGGATTTTCGGTTATTATTATTCTTTAGAGAAAACGAATAGTTGAAATAGTATTCTCTTTTAAATAAGTAGTATATGTATGTAATTTTAATAGCAAGAATTAATAAACATTTAAAGTTAAATGTTACGAGAAAAAGTCGATCAAAATAAGAGGATGCTGCATTGCGACAGAGTACAATATATTATTATTTATTTCTCTTGTTCGATATAAACGTTCGATATAATGTTATATTAGAAATGCGCTTAGTGAACTGTGTGAATCATACAAAGTGCTTTCAAACTCGAAAAGCTTTATGCAAATCAGTACGTAATGCTTTTTCCAATGACTTGAATATAGCACTACCAGGATTGTTGAACCGCAATACATTTTATCGAGACATTTAATAGTATTAGTTAAATTTTGCGATTAAATTGTATATCACATTATATAAATAAAAGTAGCAAGTTAATGATTATGAAACTCAGAAAAAACGAAAAAAAATTATATTGAGAGAGAGATTTCTAAGAAATATAATTAAATTAAATATTAAATATAATTATTAAATATAATAAGTAAAATTATTACCACCATTTAGGAATATTTTGAGTAAGATACAATTTTCTAGAGAGTGATATGTGATTTTTAAGATGTAAATTATTTAAAATAGACTAAACTAATGGGAAGAAAATTTTATTAGGGATAATGGTACACAAAAATATTTTTAGAAAGAGTATCTTTCTATTTTCGGAAACGATAAAATTCCGAAATGTAACAACTGTAAATTTGCAATTTCCTTTCATTATTCATTTTCCTCTAAATGAGAAATGCCTCAAAATCACTATCATTATGTAGTATTTTACTGTCTAGCAAATAGCTACGAATCATTGCGCTATTATTACGCTACGATTCCGGATATTTTATTGAATATGTCTGGAACATTCACCTCGCACGAAGATCCGTCTTCATTTGCTCGTAATTAATTTTATTACAGCTGATTTTATGTGTTTGTTCATATTTTAAAAAAATATGAAATTCAAACTTTTTAATAGAACGCAATTTTTATTTGTATTTATGTCAAATTTATAAAAATTTGATTATTGTCTCCAAATTAGATTGGATTATACATTTAACCGCGAAACGAAAAAAAAGACCGCAGTTTTATAAATGGCACTACTTGGTTTATTTTTCTGCGATTTACTCCAATTCTGTTGTTCAACCATTTCGACCGCACTCGGATTTTATATGGTATTACGATAAATCTTTTTATAGAAGAATATAACGTTCAAATTTCGCTCCCAATTAAGTATTTCGATAGCACGTTCCATGATATCGATAGTCCAGCTATGGCTTGATCGCATCTCTAATTGAATTATCCGAGATTTACACAGGCAAAGTACATACATGCAAGGTAGATACATTTCTGGTTCAACCGTAATAAAAAAAAAAGCGAGAAAGAGAGAAAGAAAAATGGAGATGTTTTTTAAAGGCGGAAAGAGAAATAAAGCGTAAGAATTGAAATGTATAATTAAAACTGTAATAAAATTAAAACTAAAAAATAATAACATAAAAATAGAATTATAGCTCATTATAATTGACTGGTGAGAGCAAGTTAAAATAAACTTTAATAAATCAATATCTTTCTCTAAGAATAGAAAAATAAAATTATATATCCAGTATTCAAAATTATTTTTGCATCTTTAAATGCATAAATTATTAACAGTAGTACCGTCATAATTCGCAAAAGAAAAAAATCACGACGATGCTCGACGGATTCTAATTTTTGTTATTCTGCTATATCTCTTTGCAACAAAATTTATAACGCTGCGAATTTTTTTGTCCCTACATTTTCACTGTAAAAACATTTTTGCACCTGAAAGTATGATGAAAACGTGGCTATAAAAATTACGCACTGACCTATAGTATTATATTATAAATTACATGCGCAATATTACGATAGCATATATACGAGTATGTATATATATATTCCGATTACATTTATTTAACCCGAGAATTGATGTAGATATGTATGAATAAATGTAACTTACATGATGAAAATGATATTCTACGATATTATTAGAGCAGCAGAAATTACTCGTATAAAATATACTTGAAATGAGTGATCGTTTATTTCGATAAATTAAATTGATAAAAATACAGAATTTTATTTCTGTTTCCAAAAATTTATGTGGCATTCAAATGTATACATCATCTCTTTTGTAAGCTTTGCTCGTCCCAATCGGTTTCTGAAACTGCCGAAAGCCAACAATTTATAATTTCTGTCATGTGAATTCTTCGTAAAATCAATAGCAAGCAGGGTAACGCCCATTTTTTGAGTTGACTTCTCGCAAACTCCCCTTTCAAACGAAATTTTGTTATGGCATGCGGCCAACATCCCAAGTTGGATCGATTGTAAGATACACCAAGTTTTGCGAAAATCAGTTTAACCATTTCTGCGTAATGTGTGTCCGAACAATAACATATATATTATAATAATAGACGATTCGTCTTTTGCTATGTAATATATAATTTTATTTGAAGTCATTAAAAATTACACAATTTTTTTTCTCAGGATGTAAAAATATGAAAGGAGTACTTAATAATGATAATAAAAATAATTGACATAGATACTATTTACGTTTCAAGTAAAAGTAAATTTTATTTCTTTATGATTAATAAATTATATCTTAATAATTAATAAAATAATTAATAAAATTACTAAAATAATTAATAAATTAAATCTATATATATATATTTATATCGATTAAATTTTACTCAAAAATAATTTATATATATATAAAGCACAATTATTATTATTATTAGAATTTAAATAATTAACAATCGTTGACAATAGTTTGTTATTAGAATTCTGACAAATATACAAAATTAATTAATCGTTATATCTTAGGTGACGTTAACATGTTCACAAATTAAAGCGCAAATAATAAGTCAATCATTGATTTAATATAAATATTAATTTCAAATGCAAGGAACAAAATAATAGAAATACATATTCGTGACACACATATTTCGCTTTGTAATACGTAAAAATATTTCGGAGCAAGAACAACAAATTAGCCGGCGCGCGGTGTTGTTTATTTTTCCCGCGCAGCGGAGAAAGAGAGAGAGAGGATGCGTGTGACGTCGCGACCTTGTCATTCGCAAGGTGAGAGCCGAGCCGACAGGCAGCGAGACAAGTCGCTCCGTGTCGACGCGTTACTATTTCCCGTCATTAATCACAATCGTGAGTATGATTATGAATTCGCACGTTTAATTAACTGTCTAGATTTAGCGATTATCATAATATGTTGAGACGACGAATATTATATCTTTCGAGACAGTCGCATTTTGCATGATTTATTCGTCGGTAACAAACAGATATATAATATAATAATTGTTTCATCGCGATCAATTAATATTCCCTCATCGATAATTATTTTTTTCATGTAATTAGACTATGTTTGTATTCTATTTCACACATATTTCGATATATTTTTATGTGTTTTTAATTGAGAATAATACACACGCGAATCGCTGGATCGAGTGATTTGAGGTAACAGAAAGTCGTGGAAAATCTCGACTTTTGTTAATTACGCTTTGGAATTTTAATTTTTATGAATTTTTCGTGCTCAAAATGCATTCGCGTCAAACATCAAATTTCGATTGTATACATATATATTTTCGCTCGATTCATCGTCTCGATTCATCTAACCTAAGTTGACTCGCGTAGTATCACGTGGTATGATCACGTGGTACCAGAATGAAGTTGCCGGCATCATATGTTCGCTCGTAAAGAAAACATTGCGCGCACGGGACGGATCGCGAGTTGCGTTTTATTAATAGGTACAGTAATTAATCTAGTGTGTTAACATCTGTCATTAACTGTCAATGCAGCATTAATAGCAGTGTTTGTATCTCGACGATTTGGTACGATCTGATCTGCGCGAGATTATTCGATCGAAATTCATCGTGCGTCCAGCATCCCCGAATTTTGCACATTCCTTCAATTTAACACATTTTACTTTAATTTAACATTTAACAACTTCAATTTGACAATTAACTCAATTGAGCTTATGCATATTTATTGTGTTCTAAAATTCTTTGCAGCATATAATGACAATTATATGTTCTATCTAAAACTAACCTATCTGTTATTTGTTGTTTACAGTGCGAGAGTTGCGAAAAGCGGAAGTGCAAGTAGAAGCGGAAGAAGCAGACAAGCGCCGCGAACGAAAATATTTACGCGGCAAAGTTGGTCGCGCGCGATTGTCGGATTCTATTCGTCGTTCGAGAGAGATATTCATTAGTATTAATCTGTGCGCGAGACGTCGAGTCGATTGCGTTGATTTTTTTCGCGTTATTATTTTCGTCGCGATGTAATCAAGCGCGTGTCGCGTACGATTAATGTGTCGGGAGTGTCATTCAGAGTTCTGTGCGCGCGTACTTAACCTCATTTCCGCCCCAGCTGACGAGAGCGAAAGAGGAGAGAGAGAGGCATCGCGGAAAATAGCGGGACAAACTACGAGCTCGGTGAGTTTTAAAAATTATTTATTTTTATATATGAGTTTAGGTATCTCATATAAATTTTCCATTTTCATGTGCTTGACAATTCAGGTGATTTCGACATCTTTGTTAAAATGATTTGAATTACACGTATCAAATATTTATTCCATAATTACGGGATACTTACAAGAAAATTAGAGATACAAAAGATGTATGTAATTATAAGAGAAAGTGAGTTTTAAAAAATATTTATGTTTATTCTCCATTTTCATGTGCTTTACAATAAACATTCAGGTGATTTTGATATCTTTATTAAAATTATTTTAATTACACGTATCAAATATTTATTACATAATTAATAGATACTTACAAAAAAAGTAGAGATACAAAAGATGTATGTAATTATAAGAGATAGATATATTTATATATTATACATACAATAAATGTAGAAATATAAAGATATACATATGCACAGGAGCAAAAACTAAGGCTGAAAAATAATCAGCGAGTTAATGCAAATATTTTCGATGTTTCTTGACGATGTATTTTTCTTTTTAATATGAAATTTCCACATTGACGAAATTGCTTCTCCCCATGATTTCTGCCGTTTTGTAGTGATGCCTTTCGCAAAATTCTTGAATCCTTTGACAAGCTTCTACGAGCATGTCGTACGGTACGGTGATTACCAGTCTCATGTAAGAGGGATAATCAAAGCACTAAATTAAGCAGGAATATAAAAGATTAATCAAATTATTTTACATTTTTAAGAAGCTGTTTTTTTTAAACTGACATGCTTTTATGATTAAATTAGACTTTTCTTAAATAAGCTATTAAAAATTTATATATATATATATATATAATAAAAACATGAAAAATTTATTTTTATCCTAATAAATTCAAAAAAATAGATTAATAATTTTTAAATTAAATTATTTTATTTTTAAATTATTATACATTTAAAAGAAGTGAAAAATATGTATCTTATGTATTATAAATAAAATTTAATGTTAAATGTAGAAAGCTAAAGAAACAAATTCAAATTGAGATTTATTGATAAATATCTTTCGAAACTATCGCATAAGCGTTTAGTACCCATTCATTGCAAAATAATTGCAAAAAATTTGTTTTATGGTTTGTGAAATCTAATAGCATTTGTGAAAATTTGCATTCACTTCTCATTAATTGTTGTTAAAAGGAATTTATATTTAAATATTTATCCGACAAACATCATTGCAAGATAATGTGTTTTAATTTTTTTACGATACTTCAATCGTCTGCATTAAATATATTGGCATACCGTAAAATTTAATTAAAAAAGCTCTGGTATTTTATTGTGTGTATACGCACGAAGAGAGAGCAAATTGCAGGATGAACATTTAGAATTAAAAAATGATCAGTTAATAATTTAAGCGTCAGAAACGAACCTGGCCGGGTAGGCAGAACACGGATTCTTCCATTAGTAGTCGCTGCACGAATTCCAGGTCGGAATTAAATTCCGGAAAACATGGTAGATCGATGTAGACCTAGAAATCGATTCAATAATTTATAGCCCGTAAATTGTAGTCGGTCCACCTTACTAATGGTATTTGTGCATTAACGTATAAATGGCGGTCGTGCATCGACTAATTGTACGACCTGTTTATCGGGCGCCCAATTAACATTTACGGCTTTATGCCACGAGCTACGGACTGTCAAACAATCAAACACTACGATTTTTAGAATTATGCAAGGCTGTTGGCCGAGTAAATTTCACGGAAATGTGATTACCATCATATACATCGCTCCGTCCGGCATTATTGGTTTTAGGCCCGAAATCTTTATTATGCAGCTGTACGCCAATTTGGAGTGCGACTGTAACATCGCGAATTTTGTATAATTATTTGTACATGTATGTTTATCTTCTAAATTGAGAAAACTTACGTGTAAGGTATGGATAACATCGTCGAAGAAATTTTGCGGTGTTTGACCAAGTATCGCGGGTAAAGCTCCTTGAATAATAGTATTACTACCAATTATCCGTTGACTCAAGCAATGCAAACCTTTGCGAATCTAAACGACAGCAATAAATTACAAATTTATTTTTATCTATTATTATCTAATTATTACATATCTATAATATATATCTATTTATATCTGAAAGAATACGGTTTATATAAAAAAGATTATACATCAGGTTGTCTTGTAAATTTGAACAGATGTAGAAAATTCTCAAAAGCGAGATCTGAGTTAGACATGTCGAATTCAATACGAAATCATTTCTAAAAACTTGATAGTATTTTTCACAGACTTCGAATATTGTGAGACATTGAACATGTTGCAAATCGACAGATATTTATCAGTCTATTCAATATTCGTCTATGAAAACACTATCAGAAAGAGTCATACAATCAATATTTTCTTTTAAAACGAAAAATAATATATATACAATGAAATAATGAATATAAAGATGTGTGGAAAAAAGAAAAATTATATTTATATTGCAAAAAAAGAAAAAAAAGAAAAAAAATTAATCGCTTTTTTATATGTTAATATTTTAGAAATTTACTCTTATTGTAAACTTATTTGAGAAATTTTATTATAAAATTATAAAGTGTAGCAATGAGAAAGAAATACTTTAGAGTTAAAGTGTCTTACATAAAAATATTTTTGCAGTAGTTAAGCAATATATTTGTGAATTATATATATAAACTTTTTGATTAGATTTTCTCTCAGAATTTTTATTTTTATTACTTATTTAAGATGAGGAAACAACTTGCAAAAGTTATTAAAAAAGCTCAACTATATATTCGTGTAACGATACGCGACATGATGGTTCCAAGTTTATCCAAAGGCGATACACCTTTTGCAAGGAATTAAAGATACGATTGGCATCGGTGGCCAAAGGATTGAACTTTCATAGCGGAATAAAGTTTAATCAACGAAATTTAATCAAATCTGTAATATGCCGAACTCTCAGCGATATGTCCGGTCTCGTTACTCGAAGAACAATGCTACCAGAAAAGCAATTATTTTCGAGCTGTGATATATTATACCGTTTACCCACCTCGGTCTCGAGTACATTCTCACGATCATGGATTATTATCCATCCCATACGCCATCCTGGAACCAGAAATCTGTAAAAAAAAGAACAAGATATAACTATCTCTCGTCAGATTTTATTTTACAGATTACTATCAAAGTTACATAATTTCTTTGAAATAATTTTGTATCGCAACAAAAAGTTTTAGTTTAAAAATAAAATACTTTTCTAGATAAATAATTTTCAAGAATAATATTTAATAATAAAAAAATTATATATAAATAATATTTACAATTATAAAAATTATATAAATCGTTCTGACTATTTAAAGCAACGAAAATCCCTTGGAATAAACTGAGATCGACTTCTCGTAGCGTCTCACTTTGTTTTATGGTATTTTCTTTATCAGAAATTATTTACATATTTATATCATGTATGTTATAATGCAAAAAATGATAAAATTGCTCTAATACATATATGTATTTTGTTATCACAGGTAGTGCGAGTCACGTGTCGTATCGGGAGTGCCGTGTAAAGTATCGCGCGTCGGGAGTGCCGTGTAAAATTTTACATATCGGGAGTGCCGTGTAAAGTGTCGGGCAATCGTAATTATTCATATTTTCGCGAGTGCCGTGAGTGCTATGAAGAATCAAGAGAGGAGGAGGAGGTCTGGGGAGGCATCGGGCGACGTCGAGGCAGCTGTGAGGTATGCAAAATAAATATAATTTATAACATATTTTGTTATATTTGTTTAAATATCTTTTTAAACGACGCGAAAAAAATTTGCACATGATTTAAAAAAATTTACACATTAATTACTTGGAAATAATTTACTGTACATTAATGGACATTTTCTTATGTACAATACATAATTTGAATATTTTTTTTTTTTTTTTTCAGATCAATATGCTGTGTACAACTTCGTTATTGTATCAACATCGGTGAGTGAGAAATTTATTTTATAACCCAGAATTACCCCGATTGATAGAAAGGCGAATGCTAGGCTTTCATAGAACAACAAAAGTTGTTCTTTTTTATTATTGTACAAATGACAAAAAAAGTTTGGCGTGCAAATTTAATATATAAAATGTATCCTTTATTCTCTAAGATAATTATTTTATCTTTGCATATGAAAGAGAGGCTTAATCATAATTAAATACACATTTTAATCTGCTATGATTGCATTAATAACGTCTATTATGAATACGGTTAACGATAATCCGATATTATAATAATCTCATTTTCACATTGATTTTGTGGACAGAATCATTTTACTATTTCTTTCTGATTTTTCTTTTCATTAATGCGAATATAACTGTTAAATAAAAGAAGCATATAGCCGTTACAATTCGCATTTAATTAATTTATTCGAAACGGATCAGAGTATTCATATTCGAGAGAAATTATTTTCAAAACCTCTTTGAGAGAAAGATTCAATTAATTTTGATTATAAAATTAATTTTAATGTATATTTCAATTATCATATTTTTGCAATAGAAATTCACATGGTAATTACTGATTAAATCATAGGCGTAATCTGGGTTTGCTATTATTATATTGTAACATATTCGTATATAATTCATATATTCTGATTGGATTCATCCATCATTTATTTTGTATTTGAATGTAAGTATGTTATATTTAAATATATATCGTTGAGAATCTGCATAAAAATGCGGTTCAATCTCAATATCTGCGAAATCAACTGTGCTGCAAAAAATTCGCAGTGTATGATAAAATATACTGTACATTACAATGAAAGACTTAATATAATAGCTGCACGTATTTGTTTACAACTAGTGTAGAGTTTGTAAATGAAGTTGCGTTTCAAATCTGATATCGTCAGAGTAATGGAAGCATAATCACGCGAAACTTCGTTCTTTCGGCTTTTTATTCACGCTCAATCAACTTTCGTCTTATTTTTGAAAATCGGACGAAAAATTTTACGGCGGAACGCGCCCGCCTTCGCTCCTAAGAAATCTTTTCGTCAACTTCACGAATCGTTAGTTTCGCTACGTACTTTTATTCTCAATGAAAGAAGATAATAGAAGGTAACGTACTGAAAATAAGTAAAAACCGGTAAAAACTTGACAAAATATTGAAGAAAATGTGGAATTTAACAAATATTTAAATAGATAAATGAATCAAATTAATAAATTTTTAAATAAATATATTTTTTTTTAAATCATTTTTAACAATCGTATTTATGATATTTAAAATAAATGTAAAAAGGTATGTATTTTTCTACGTTTTTTCTCTCAAGAAGATAAATGTAAAAAGGTATGTATTTCTATTTTTTTCTCTCAAGAAGCTAAATATTCAGATTTTGCTTTAAATCCTTTGATTTTGAATGCCTTTTTTGGATCAAATGTTGAAATTTTGCTCTGCGAACATTCGTAGTACAATTGATGTCAACCTGTTTAATCACTTTTGACTTCTCCCTTGTTTTTTTCATCTTTAAACATTAAATAACATGACGGTCTTTCAAGAGGTAGATTAGGTATTCGACCGTTTTATTTAATATACGCGAAAATTGCATATTAAATTTGCGCGTAAAAATTCCAGGATGTTACACAAAATCTCGCGCCCGAATTTCAACGTCGAAATACGGGATTTTTACTAGTCACTTCACGTTCCAACATACCTTTTAGTCAGTCCGCTGCACGACAAAATAGGAACTTCGGTCGATAGAGACGCTAACGAGTGGAAAGTCCGTCCTGGAAATACCTGAAAACAGTGGAGAGGCGAAAAATGTATTTGCGCATAATAGGCACGTATGTTTCGCCTGCATGTGACATAAAATGACACAAAATCGTGACAGTCAGACGTTACTTTGTCTCATTCAATTGAATTAAAAAAAACACTACTACAATTATACGTCACGCAATAGAATATTGTGCGTGTACTTTTATATTTTAAACTAGAATAACGAAAATTAAGTTATAAAAACTCATAAAATTCTTATATAGACATATAATTTTTTTATAACGCAAAAAGAAATTTTCATTCTAATTCGTAAAAAGAAACAATATGAAGTAAAACATAATTTAATTATTGTAAAATATTTTCTTTACGATTAGATCACAATGAATCTTTGCGACGTGTAATTTTCGTAAGCGAAAATTCTCCTTCCGGGATTTTGCATACTAGTTCCGTGAATGAATTGCGTGTTCCCTTGGAAACACAAAAGGACGTCGCTTTATTTCGAAGTCCGCAAATGAAACGATTTGTCACTTGATACTTGCGAGAGGGAAGCGTAATATTCGGGCACGTACCATGTGCTCGTAAATCTCATCGGCTATAATGGGTACGTAATAACGAGCGGCGATGTCGAGAATGTCAAGTATATGGTCGCGACTGAACACGGAGCCGCACGGGTTCGAAGGATTGTTTATAACAATCGCTGCGGTCGACTCGTCGATTTGCGCCTCCAGATCGTCCAGATCGATCTCCCAACCGAGTTCCGGCTGCGAAATGAACGATTAATATTAATAGGGTGCATTCGCGAGATGTCCTCTCCATCTCTTTCTCTCGGACATTCATTTTCTCTCTTTTCTGTAATCTATAATGTACAAGGGGTGTCTCGGAAAAATCGCCTGCAATTTTTTTTTTATAGATTCTTTCATGGTTTTGAATTTTTTCGCACAAATTAAATTTTACTGTGTGTAAAAATATTTCGATTATTTTTACATTTCAACAAAATTCTTTCAACAATTACATGTTAACAAAGAATAAATATATTTCAAAATATTCTATCGCGTTGAATTAAAACAATCGATGATCTCGAATTAAAAATAATTCATATATATTTTTGTGTAGATGCTTTCGCATTTAAATAAAATAATATTTAGAGAAATATATTGAATAGGAATAAAATATACACACATAGATATTGCGAAGCAATAGACTGTATACACAAATATATAAAATTGCCAAAACGTTTACACAAATTTTAAAAAATTTTACGTTTATGTACGACAATATTTATGCGATTCATAAATACGCGACGTGTGAGAAAATGCATAGGATGGTTACAAATTCCTCGCGCATTTCATTTTGTAGACAATTAAAGTTACAGTATTACGACTGTAATTACTTCTTAGGAAAGTAAAATACTTTGTAGCGACACATAGCGAAGGCGAGTAAGATGTTAAAACTTGCCGGTAAGCAAAGTTGAAAAGAGAGGAAACTGCTTCATTAGCACTTGAATTTAATGTTTGAAGGATCTCAAAGCAAAAGTATAGATATCTCGTAATGAACAATTTAAATATGATTCCGTGTTCTTTAAAGTCATTACGCAATAATAGCTCCAATTGGTGGTCCAATTTTTTACATGATTGCTTTGCGAAAGAAACGAAATCTTTACAAGATCTGAAATTAATAAAATTTCTTAAAATTATAACATTATTTAATATTAAAAAGATACATACTTTTAATAAGAGCGAATAAAAAAATGTCAGATATTTAAATATTACAAATTGTACTTTAGATTTTATTTTGAAAATTTGCAGGAGAAATTAAAGTTTAAATATAAATTTTTACTTCTTGATACGTCTGAAGAAATACAATATATGTATATATAAAATTAATGTAGTTATGTGATAAAAGATTTCGTCTCTGCACGCTAAAAAACGAAACATTATGAACCTTTATTGTTTCTCGTGATATTCACGCCTTACAGATGGCTAATAAATTTAAAGATATTAATGAAATGGAATATTTTTGCATAGAAAATCGTTCGTACGCGCGCATGCTAATCCCGATTGTCTCTTGAAGCGTTTTGTAATAATGCGTATAACTTAAGAAATATGGCAGACGTCTGTTATGCACATTTCTTATTAATGACGATGTAACACGGTAGCGTGTAATACTGCCTTCTCTTTTACAGGCGCGATTATTACAGAGTAGCGCTGTCGCTGCGGTATCGATCAATATTTTGCATGTTATCACGGGAATATGCAAGCAAGTGTTCATTATGCTGTTCGTTATCTATAAATGATTCAGAATGCATATTAAACAAACAAATCAATTGTTAGACAATTTAAAATTTGAAAAGTTGATATAATGTTTTTAAAACATTCGGATAATTAATATAATTTAAAAAATTTATTTATTTCAAAAGCATGATTCTTAAAATTTTTATATTTTTACAAACAAATGAATTAATTTAAGTACGCTCTTTATGGAAAATTCTTTATCACGTGTTTTTTTTTAAACAGTTATTTTATATTTGTATTCGAAATATACTCTTTAAAAAAATACTTCAATCTATATTAATGTTCGGATCATAAATTTGTAATTGCTACGATATATGAATTTTAAATTATCCATAGAACTACCTGGTCAAACGTGTAGTTCACGTGCAGTTTGCGTGTAGTTCACGCAAACTACACGTTCTTGATTAATTATTATTCAGAAGCAAAACTGAAAACCAGTAGTTGCCATGCATACATTGATAAGTTTTATTATATTGAAATCACATGCGTACATGCAAATGACATAATTCGTTCTCACAATTGTTGACCAACAAGCGGTTATTGATTAGTTACATTTAAAGCTTGCTCGTTTAAGATAATCTTTTTTTGTACTTTGAAAATGACGAATAACGATATATTTCTGCAAAATATTTTTTAAATTAAATCCAAATATTTTATATAAAATTATTATATATACATATATGTATATGTATAATAATTTTAGTAGAAATTTTATTAAATGAAAATTATAACAACTTTTACCATCTATAATATTGTTTCACTTCTTCATTATTAGATACAAATTTTACTGCATAAAATATATGTTAAATGCGTGTAAAGATATTGATTTTTTTTAAAAAAGATACTCACACGTAACTCATATGATTTAACCGTAATACCAAGACCCTCTGCCAACGTTCGATAGATCGAAAAACCGGGACGTGGGATTAGGATGTTTTGGCCTTCTCGAGCTAAAACCGTGATACACAAGTCAAGCGCGCAAGAACATCCACTACACAGGATTACGTCCTATGGCAAAATATAGAAATACGAAATAGATTATTTATATTGCTTTCGCGTCTCTCATACACGTAAAAATAAAAAAGCTTTCCGCGCTAAAAATTTTTTATTATTTTTATACTTTTTACACGCTCTTTCTATATTTTTTAAAGAATTTATTCGATACATTTTAATAAATTTTAATATTATATCAAAATAAAAAAACTCAAATATATACGAAATTTTCAAAACAAAAATTGGATAAAAATTTTGATGAATGGAAAGGAGAATTTTTATCGCAAGAGTTTCAGTACAGAAAAATGAGCTGTTTGTATTGTATTTACGTGCAGATCATAATTGGACGACACGGATATAAAAGGACATAATTAAAAATCATCAAAAGAAAAATAATATAATTTCAAGCTTAATTTCACGTTCTCTTTCTCTCTTCTTTTATCTTTGTCATTCGATAATATAACATTACATTTTGCCGTGTAATTTTATATTTGCTCTAGTAATTCAATAAATTGTTTATGATTAATTCGAAATTGATCTGCTCATTCGTTTTCAGTATTCTATTTCATTTTATCGATGTATCTCTTTTTCCGTCTGCATCGGCGATTTCCATCTCGCGAGATTTCACAGCGTCAAGTTAATTAACTATCCTCGAGATTGTACAAGTGTTCGGAATATACAATACAATCGACGTCACGGAAATAATTCCTGTAATGTAATACCTAGATCGCTTTTTTCTCTCTCTCTTTCTCTTTACGAGTCTGAAAGAAAAATTTATAGTATCTCTTTCACGTCCTGTTATTAATATTCAAACAACTTTGGCAATTTTGGCGCTTCGCGCTATTCTTGTGAATAAATAACAATAAAATATTGATGTTGAATAAATAAAATACGAGCGCGTATAAACGCGTGACGAGAAACCTCTACATCGGTGATTTCAAATTTGTTCGCGACACGTGCTCGCCGATCTGTCATCGATATTCGATGTAGGCATATGTTTTACCTTAGGATCGACTTTTACGAATTCGTTCGAACTATATTCAGCTACAGCTTCTCGCGCCCTCTGATAACCTGCGGAAAATGGATAAATCGAAATCATTTTCTTACATTATTAAATAGATATATAATTACTTAACGTCTAGTTAGTCTATGATATAACATATACGATTTATATCATAAAATAAATAAATATATCATCACATATATAATTAGTAATTATTTTATGACATTTATATATATATATATATATATATATATATATTTAAATAATTTATCTATGATTATTTAAAAAATGTTAATAGGGGATATTTTCTATGTTAATTTTCTATGTTAACAGATTTATTTTCCATCATTTCTCTCATCAGATTTATTTTTCATCAATTATACTGTAATTAAACAAAGATTTAGATTAGGATTTATGAAACTTAGAATAAAACGTTACCTGTGCTCGGTGCATATCCGTTGTACAATTGCGAAGCTACACTCTCTTGAACAGCCTCGATCACCTCTTTTGGCGGCTTCAAATTGCCAAAAGTCGTAGGGTCACCTTTAAAATAGAACGCGTAATTTTTTTTTAAACGCCATGAACACATTGGTTTATCGATTATCCCACGATTGCAATATAAACTATCAATTGTATAAATCTAGTTTGCCACTAGATTTATTTAGTTTCGCGTAAGGCAGTTAATTACGTATATGTGTTTCGTTTGTAATTGATTACTGTGTTTAAACTAGCCCTAGGAAATGCTGTTTACAGATGCGTTGTCAAAGTGTAACGAAACAGTTACTACTCGGTTCGCGTTCTGGATATATTGTAATGGAAATTAATTAATTGTTTCCCATGAAACTACGCGTCATAGTCAATCTCTGTTGCAAAATGTCTATTACGCGGCAAAATAAAATTCGAGTACCGAGTACCATGAGACATAATTACAACTTCGTCGCCTTTAATCGGAAAGAATAGCGTTTCGACAATGTTGCGGTTAACATTTTCCAATATTAAATTTCGCATTTCAATGTTTTCTATTACAATCGATAACAATTAATATCGATTCACGCTGAAATCTTTGGGAGAATTATCAGAGAATTATTAATTACACACATTACAGACATATTACAACGTCGAGAAGTTTGGAACTTTTATAAATAATTATTTTTATTTGTTGCACGTAACTAATTTTTAGTTTGCATGTGTATTTTACTTTATACTATATGAAAAAAATATATTCTACATAGAGTATGGATAGTTTTTATTAGATTATGTAACTAAAAAAAATTTTTTTTAATTAAATACTCTTAACTTTTCTCTTTCTGAGAAAGTTTTATATACATTTCATTTTATTTTTAGAGCATTTATACTACTTTTTTCAAATGGAATCGTTTTTTTGAAAGTATGAATTTCATAAAAAGTAAAATATGTTATGAATATTTCTCTTACATGATAGAAAAAAATGTAGTAAAATTTCTTGTTTGTCTTATCGATCTTTTCGGCATGTTATGAAACTTATAAACCGGTTTTGGAATATTTTTGGAGCAAAACCATACATGAAACTTTACCGAAAGCGAAACATTTAATGTACACATCGTGGCATACTTTTTTTTGATAAAAAGAATCTGAAAAAGGTTTCCCAAATTGTCAAATTTCTCTGAATTTTTATTATTTTTTTATAAAAAGAATCAAAATATTTTTAAAAAACATTATTACGCTAATCTCAATAATTTAATACTACACTTTACTCTTTTAAAAATAAAAGATAGCATTTTTCGAAAATTTTGACGCTGCTATTTTATTTTCCGACGTTGTAATCTTCTTAAAATTGCATATGTATAGAATAAAAGAAGCTTTAAAAAATATAGGTATACATATATAGCCACTAGCACATCCGGGTAAGATTTGTTTCGAAATATATTTAGATTAGTGTGTTCATGTGTCAGTTCTATTCTATTCCGGTATAAAATTTACTGAGGATGTTTTTCCGATACATTCTGACACATCCGCATTTTGCATCACTCGTACTCATACAAATGTTAAGAGGACTCAATACGCGTCACTACCATTTTAACTTTTCAAGCCTTTTAACTTTTCATCGCTTATAAAATTCTGCACCTATACATATAAAGTTAACATTGCATACCTTCGTGTGTAGAAGTTTGCAAACTTCCTAAAGAATTACAAACAAATATACAATTCAGGCATGAGATAAAATTCTTGAGATGCTTCACTTTTATGTGCGTAACTCTTCAAAATAGTTTTTCGCAGCCACTCCCATTTTTTTTCTAACAAAATACTGCGAGGAAATATTCTTGGAAAATCATTTATTGAAACATGTTTTAATTTACTCTTTGGTTTTTAATATTTTCTCTCAATGTTTTATTAAATATTGGGTGAGTAAATTAATTTTTTCTCTTTGAATATAAAACCGAATTTGTAGAAAAATTTAATCTAAAAAAATTGAAATTTTATGTCAAAAAATTTGCATCTAGAAATTTGCATCTTATCAAAGGTGATATTTTTTGAAAAGCAAAGAAAATATTACAATATTATTTTTGTAATATCATGGAATATGCTAATATATAAGAAAAATCATGATATTATTCAATAATATTATATATGTATTATATTTTCCAAAGGAGTATTGTCATTATCCAAATATTTTGACACATACATACACCTACATAATTGTTAACGACCAATAGAACAAATGTATAATTTGCAATTATAGTACTATATTTTAATGCCATTGTCATCTTCAAGATTTACAATAAATGTAAAAATGAATGCATTTTCCATGTAATTTGTACTGTAAAATTTTCTCCGCATATACATTATATTATATTAATTATTTTCTTCATATTTATCAAAAAAAGCGCAGTTCTATTTTATTTATACGGTCCTTTTAATTTTCTTAACGTACATAATATTTTCAATTATCTACCGTGGAAAAATTTTCAATATTATAAAAGTAGCGTTTTTTTTTTTATATTAAGCGTCACAGGAATTTGATCGAGCCAAGTATATTGGAATTATTTTATCGCTTAGGAAACTTTTATCCGATAAACTCTCTTTTGAAAAAGTTGTTTCTTTTAGAAATACAGCAGAATCGGCAAACGAAATATTGTCTATCTTGCACCGCGTGTCTGCGTATCAATATTTTCCAGAGAGCGAATTGTATATTAAGTTTCAATACTTTTGGATAAAACAGATCTTACGACGAAGTTAACTTCATGTTTTCTTTTATCCAGATTTTTAAAAAGTTGAAGAAAAGATTTTTTATTTTTTATTAAACAAATAGCAAGATTAATGTAACAATTAAGATAAACAATAAGAATATACGCTGTTATCTGAAAATTTTTTCCATTATATGTAAATGACTACAAACAGAGAAATAAACGCAGACATATCACATAGGTTTTATAAATTTACAAATTCTGCAAATTTATGAAAAATAGCCATCATAGTATTCGTTCAGGCAAAAATGGCGTATAATAAATAATTATTATAATATCCATATTTTATTAAACTCCTTTAAACTGACCCTATCTCTATAAATCTAACAATATCAGAGAGTTATTGTAATGATAAAATTGTAGATTTATTATAGTGATAAAAGAAATTACACGCACAATTACAAACATTAACATATAACTTTTTTAATTTAAATTTTATTGAAAAAAGATTAAGTTGAATAATATTTATGGAAAAATAAATTTGAAATATTATGCGAAAATGATAGATTGTTATTATTAATAGTAAAAATTTACTCCAACTATCGCGTGCAAAAAATAATATTAATATTTTATGCTTTTTCAAAAGCGCGAAAAGGCTGAACCGAACGCATTTCGATATTTTCGACGTAATTCCTGCGGAGTTTCCAAGTTAATCAAAATACGCTTTTTCATATTCCAGCATATTTTCCTCGCACAGCATATTTTTGACCTCCTATTTTGTACCAATCGATATATCAAACTTTTTTTTCGCAAGCGGGAGATCATGCATATTGAAAATCTAGGAAATAGCGAAAGTTTGCAATTTGTATGCATTTACTGACATTGTGGCCTTTGTAGGTGGCTTTCTATTTGCGTAAAGTTTTCCGCAATGTGCCTCAAATATAAAATAAATAAAAATCTAATAATTTTATATATTAATTTTAGGAATGTAATTATGACGTTTCGTGCAGTGACTTTACATATGAATGTAATTTTGCAGCAAAACGTGCAATATACTCCATATTAAATTACCTTTCAATTACTAAATTGTTTCATACGTTAGCAAAACTAAAGACAGATTATATTGTATAGTTTTACGCTCGCATCATTTTATTTTCGTGCAATTTTTGTAATAAAGAATGGACGCGACGGACAATCTCTTTTTCACCTCAACGGAAAAAGATTGGTCGGGTCAGTTTATATCGTGTTATCTTTTGTCTCGCGTAAAAAAATAATCGCTTAATTATACCATCGTGATACATTGTCTCGTGCTTTTCTGTGTTTCATCTCTTGTCGAGTAAAGAATGAAAATTCAGAGAAATATGGCGGGATTGTCAAATAAAATCATCGTCATCGAAAAATGTGGAAAATTCTTAAAATCGCGCTCAGTAATCGAATTTATTATTATATATGCATATACAAATTTATTAACACATAATAACAATATATTCATATCATTTATATAATAAGTAAAATTATTTTTGTATTCCAAAGATACTATATTTCTGTCTCTTTTGAATATAGAATAGTTCTACTTATTATATAAAAGCTTAAGTGATATTAAATTATTCATAAATTCATATAATAGATTTATATAAAATTAGCAAATATAAAAATAACAGATTTAATAATAGCTCGAAAACTGTATAATAAGAAAGAGAATATAGGATATACATATTATAAAAGAAAAGAAATATCCATAAAAATATAATTATTAAAAAATGAATGTATTCATTCTGCTTCATCCAATCGCTCTAGTTCGCGCGCGATTTGAAATAATTGTATTAAAATATTACTCGCGCAAAACTACAGCGACGATTTTGACTCGTCAGCTCACCAATAGATAAGGCGATCATCGGCTTGTTCGGGTTCGGCTCTACGACGATGTTCTCCACTATCGATCTTATAGGATTGTGTGTCCTTCGAGCGATGTTGGAGGCGCAAACGTTCCAACATTCGCGGAAACTAGATTTGGACATCTCGTCGTGGACGGAAGAAATGTCCTGCGAAAGCTTCACTTGCCGATCTCTTTCCGGTTAGAGAAACAATGAGATACGTGTGTTCTCTCTCTCTCTCTCTCTCTCTCTCTCTCTCTCTCTCTCTCTCTCTCTCCACAAGAAAGAGAATTGATCTGCGTATCTCTCGATAACGCAGATATTTCCTCTCACAGAAAAAAACAGTATCCTTGAAAGAATGCAAATATTGTTGGATAAAGAATAATTTATCCTTAAAACAAAAGTGCAAAATATTCTTGGTTGAGAAGCTGAAATTTATTTCAATTAAATATAATTCTTAATTTAAATGTAACTAAGTTTGTTTTTAGCATACAACGATTTTAAAACGAGAATATATTTTATTAAGGATAAAATATACTTTTCACAAACTTATTTATTATTAAGGCAAATGAAAATTACAAAGCGCACGCTATGCTTAAATCAATCAAATAGCGTTAAAGAATGAAAATATACTTGAATCAAGGATTCCTTTTTTTCTGTGCTCGGTATTTACTTGGAATCGACTATTCCCGTTCGGCTCGCTCTCTATCACTGAGTCCCAATCGAGATCGCACGCTAATAATCGAAATGCTCTACGGAGGCTCGAGGACAAACGAACCGGTCGGATTGGTCCATTCGAACACCACACCTTCTTTCATAATTAATTAAATGGATTCCGTGCTTACGTAGAAAACGAGTACCTTGAGCGACTATGTCAACCATGTGTTGTCATCGTGACGAGAGCAAAACAAGAGTACGATCTTTCTATTTCTCTCGTCCCGCCATCGTCTTTTTCTCTGTCGCGCCATCAAGAACTCTCCAGAATGTGGAACCTTAACTCCTTCGCTAAGTTCCTATTTTGTTCCGTCTGTCGCTAATGTTTATGCAATTATACCTCGTAACTGTTTACTCCGAGTTACTACGGTCGCGGATTATTCTAACGCTGCGCTTCGTCGTCCGACGAAGATGTCATGAACGTGCGTTTGCTCGTTAATTGAGTTTAACGTTCAGACTACTCTGTTGGATCCGCCCGACGAATGTTAGGGATGAACGGCTGAATGAGCGGAATGAAACAGAAATAACTGCTATCTGCCAGAAATTAGAAAATCATGAAAATACTCGGTTGAAGAATACATATAGACACGGAGAAGCTAGAATTGATTCATCATGATTTTTTTATAAGCTTATCGCATGTATTTTCCCCGTAGACTTTTTATAATTTAATATATTATTATAAGATCTTATTTTTCCTCAAAAAAAAAGAAATTAAATGATACATATTATATATTATAAAATATTATTTATTATATTATGAAAGAATTAAGAAAATAAAATATTCTTAATATTGAAAGAATTATTATATTTTTATGGATATGGTAGATTTACAGAAATATTTTATATTTTTTTAAGCATTTTTATTAGATTTACAATATATATCTTTATATATATATTTTTTTTTATTATATATAAATATCTCTATTATAATAATTTCTACAGTTAATATTATGCTAAAATTGCCATCTTGTATAATAATAATAATAATAAATTTGTTAGTATAATTTTATATACATATAATGAGAATTTTAAAACAGATTATATATGTACAGGAAAGTTACATCAATTTTAATTAAACAAAAGTATTTCGGGGCATATTGTAGTATTTATATTAATTTCCATGCAATACTTGCATATTTTGCATTCGCGAAATTTTGTCGCGATAAGCTATTCGCGAACTCACTAAAATAGCAGAAACATCGCAATTTCCATTTGTATTGTATTTCTGTCATGATCTTTGCTCTTTATATATTTGCGATAAATCCAACAGAGAGATAAAAAAATTATTGGATAGTATTAAATTAAAATCCCCCGATGGAGGCTTCTTTTTTCCTTTCAAAATGAATCTCGGGAGGAATGCTGCGATGCCGGTTTCGATGTTGTCAAAGTTTGCCGAGGACTGGGCCAAGATGGAATTTTAGACGTTTCGTGACTCTATTTTACAGAACACGGCACGTGTGCCGAACCAAGGCTCCTCTCGTTGGAGGCTCGACTGCTTACTATGCTAAACACATTGGCCTCAGCAGGATTCCTTTACGACGGACGTCCCTCCTATAACTGTGCTCTTTGAAATTCTCCCGTAAACTTTCTCACTACGCTACATCAGTCGATACTGATATATATATATATATATATATATATATATATATATATATATATTACTTATATACATATTGGAAGTTTCTTCACGACGAGAATTTTAAGTAGGAAATAATAGAGTGATAGGAGCAGTATAGTTATTCACAAACGTGATGCCAAAATATTACGAAATATAATGTCATCTTTAATTTACGTGAAAATGTATGAAATGTAACGGCAAGAATTTGTTTAATTTATTTCCATTATTAATTATTGAGAACATTATTTTTTATATTGATTTACAAAAAAAGAGGACCTTTACTAATCGATTGAAAAATATAAAAACCAGCATATTGTCAATTTATTTAGACATTTAATCCATTAAGATTGAAATTTAAACATTGATTGTGACTATATAACATCATATATTGGCACAATTTTTGTAATTTTACGTTTAAATAGATTATAATTCAATGAAATCTTGTTTTGTGAAAATAATTTTTGTATAGCTTGTTATCTGAATTTTCGCAAATTATCACTTTAACGAATATATTGCGCGAAATAAAAATTTTAGTGGCAATCTACATTTATACGTATATCAAAAGTAATGAGAAAAGTAGTGAAAAATTTTAGAAAATGCTTACAAATTAATATTAGTAATGTCAAATTTTTAGAAATTTATTGTCACTTAAGTATCGCGTAATAGCTATTTTCTCGAGTCGCAAAGACACGTCATTCCTCATTAAAATATTCTGATTTATTGGTTAATTAATTGAATATCTTATACGCAATATTTAAATACGCATCATGCCATACTGAAGTATATCTTCTGTTATTTAAAAAAGAGGAACTATTTGAATATTCATAATTTTATTTCTTTGAATGCATAGTTAATTCTCCTTTGGAGGCTCGCCTTTAATTACTATGCTGTGAACATGTTGACTAACTTTAGAAGAACTTGTTGACAGTGAGTCAAAAATTGTTATGTATCAGATATGCTGATGTTAAGTTGTTATCGACAAAATTCATGAGTTCTGCAATCCAACATATTTATTGCACGTTTTCCCCACATCATAACACTTTGATATCACATCAATATTATTTAATATTGTTTCGAGATTATTGTGCATCATAAAATTCTTTATTTTTGAGATTTATTTAAATTTACAAATAATAGAAATAAAAACAATATTTATGTTTATATATTTTATATGTTATAGATATTTTTAGACAACGATAAACTTATTATATGCAGATAATAATAGCATAAATTTAAAAGCTTTACTCGGTCGAAAGGCACTAATGATAATGCGCTCATTTGGAGCATGCAGACACCTAAAACAAAGCGTGAATCACATTGCGTAAACGCATTTCACAGAGAATAAATGAATTATAATTATAGATATGGATGCTTTAATGTTGACGTAATTTAGCAAAATTAGACATTTTTATAAGAAATTTTTTAAATATTAAATAGGAATTGCTTTAAATAGATTGTTGATAAAGTTATTTTTCCAATTTGCTATATATATTTGTCACACTCTTGTCTAATTAAAATCTTATTTTTGCAAAATAAAGTAAATTATATATAATTAATTATATATACATACATAAATTATGTATATTATATTATATATAATATATGTACGTCTTATTGGTAAACATGTAATATATAGGTTAAATAACAAGAATTAATGACAGTAATGTAATATCGATAACATTGCTTGATTTTTTCCCACGATAATAAACAATATAATTATCAAGAAAAAACAGATAACTGCATATATTTTTATATTTATTGTCAGTACACAATTTTTTGTGAATAGACAACGTATTCCGTTACAATTTCATGCCAAACAAAAATAAATTGATCAATGAAAGTTTTCCCTAAGGAAGATTGACTTATTAAGATTTATTAAAAAATAAATTAAATTAAATATGTTAAGTTAAAATAATATATATATATATATATATATATATATGTTTATAAATATGAAATAATGCATCTAAAAAGCAGAATAAAAATGTAGAAAATTGGCAACACAGTAGGAAAGCGTGCGACGAAAGTCGTACAGTTGAAAAATAAATTCGCATATTGTCACTCTACACTTTTGCGCATATCGTATTCTGGAGCACTCAAAGTACCGCCCGGGAGTCAACTTGATGTATGCTCGAGGAAATGTCGCAGTATTTCTCGAAACTCGCGAAAGAGTGCAAGCTCGATCGAGAGTCTCGATTCAGTTTTCGTGCCATTCAATCGAGGCATCCGTTCATGCCCGATCGAACGTGGCGTTACAAACATTGAAAGGCGGTGCTGTTTACACGTAATGAAAACGAAAACATATGCTAATGAGAATCATTCTCAACTACTGCGAAGAAAATATGCAAATCAATCTTATGTATCGCGTTCCCGTTCGCACTTTGATCGAAATTCAAGAAACTCTGGCATCATCAACAGCCTTCGAATCAAAATTCATCCCTTTCTTTATCGGGGTTTATAACAATATTCGGTTTTATTTTCCTGAAATATAATACAGAAAAAATAATCTATAATATGTAGATATTAATTATGGATATTCTATTGTAAGAAATTAGAATATCGTTTATTAAGCGAAATATCGATTTTGTATAATTTTCACTAATATTCAGGTAATTTTTTAGAAAATCGCATATTTATAAATGAAGTCATTTTAGTTATCGTTACTGCATTATCCAAGTGGCGAATTAATTTTAGAATCGTTTCTACCTCTAAAATCTCAAGAGCTTTTAGAGATAGAAATGTTATACGTTATTATATATCTTGTTATTATTTACCTATATTTGAATTGCACCTATTAATTATTTGATCGCCGAATAATGACCTGTTATCTTTGGAATTAAAAAGTTGAAAAAATATATATATACACATATATAAAATATAAAAGAATTATTACTGTTATTATTACTTTTCGCACGTATAAATTCAAAACTCATAACAGATCTAACTCTTTTCCAGCTGATCAGTTAAACGGTTTTTGACTGACATTGATCTTGATCAGTCTCTTCCAGAATTTCGTGAGCGTTTTAACTTTCTCGACACGAAGACAGCCCTTCGAAACTTTAAAGTGCCCCGGCGTTAGTACGCTATCGATTTTTTTCCTTGGGGAAAAAGATTACCATAACGAGATGATATTTGAGCATATGCGTAAAATCGCCATCAATGACAGTTTATTCGCGTGCGACACGAAAAAATAAATTACCTTGCGTGTAACGATGCACGAAACGCATTTAGGTTTGCGAGAGAGAGAGAGAGAGATTTTTTAATGAAATAGAGTACATTTTATCGAAAATTTAACCTCAGCCATTTCTTATCTACTTATTCATCATTTATATAGAAGGAAACTATGAAATTAAAATTTCTGTTATATGTTACGATAAATCCACATACTTTGAAAAATCAATTAGAAATTAAAATTACCTTCATGTGAAATTCATGACGAAACTTTTAAAATTAATATAAATTTTACTTGACTTTTAAGAAATACTTCACATTCTTCGTGAATGTACATTTGTATATCTACATATTTATTAACGAATATTTTACACATATATTTGTGCTGACAAGTTATTTTCTGATTATCATATATACATATAATGAAAAGATACGGTGGTATCTGCAGATAAAATAAAGTATTCTAACAGCAGTGATTAGCGGGAATAAATTTCCCTCTTATTCTTATACGATAAAACGAACGCTCTACGTCTCTTGGATTCAATTAAAGGTCTTGAAATAATTATGCGCGCTGCGTAAAAAGAAACTCGAGAAAATATTTCCTACGAACAGAATTATTAAAGCACATTTTTCCCTGCATTTTTTAATTAAATTGTGTAAAGGACGTGTATAACAGTAATCGATATAGATATTAGTCGTCATTTCTACCATTTTCAAAATATTCTCTCGTGAAATTTATAGATCTACATTAATGGATAATGGATTTTTTCTGTTCTTTTTTTTATTACATTTCCTCTTACAAATGAAGCTTATAAAAAAAATTCATTGTTTCATATAATATATAAAAATTTCGCTTATATACTATTTAGGATCGGATTATACAGAGAAAGTAAAAATATGAATCGGTCAAGTTTGAAAATAGAATTTTATTAGCTACGTAGCAAAATACCTATTTATTTAAATATTTGGCGTCACACGATTACCAGGCTAAGATCGTTTATATTAATATACAATATGTAAAATGGGCCATATTGAATATGGGCAGTGTCGTTACGATAAACTTAGACTTCAAAAAAAAAAAAAATACGAGATTCATACGAGATATAAATATATATTATTTTACATGCTAGAGTAGTAGTACGCTAGAGGCACTTGCTTGTAAAGTTATACATATAAAGAGAGAGAGAGAGAGGAAAAAAAACACATATGGCGAAAAGGAGGAAGCGCTCGTGGGAACAGATAAAAGAGCGGGTAACGAGCGAGAGGAGGATGGCTCTCAAGGGTAAAGAACTTATCCGGGTGGAGTATAGACACGGTGAGGGTCAGAGAGATAGGAAATAATGAAGACAAGACGGTTGCGGAACACATCCGGCGGAGAAGGAATCACGAATAAGAGAGAGAGAGAGAGAGGGATGCGTCGTTCTCTTTATTTCTCGACGCGGATCAAGCGAGTCCTCCTGAACTTCCATTCCATCGCGTGACGTTACTGCTCTTTTCTTCCTTGTTATCGGGGATCGAAACCGGCGTAATTCCGACAAAGTCTAATTTTCCGCATCGCACTCGCGGCGAAATGTATCGAACGCCTTTTCATCGTCTCGAATAAACATAGAGATCTTTTTTTTATTTTTTTCCACAAAATCTCTAACGTCGAGATCCGAACTTTGGACGAAATCACGTTCGGTTTCGATCGTCGTTTAATTTTTTTATTTTTTTTGTTTTAGACTCATAGTGATATATTTTCGCTTCTATTCTCGTGTAGAAAAAGGGGAGAGAGAATACAATGTATCGTGTGTATAATGTATGTGTGTGTGTGGGTGTTTGTTTCTCGTGTAAACAGTGGGTGTGTTTACGTGTTCTTTATACAAACTTGGCAGCGACTTATTCGGGACCTAAGATTGCCCGCCTTTAGGGTTTGCTTCTCGGGGTTCCTGAACTGCTGGCCATCGTCTACGGTAACCATCCAGAAGCTGTACTGATTAGAATAGTAATGGCAGTGTCCTTTAGCGCCGTTACACTCGATGAACGGTGTCGCGCGGAAGTCCTCCAGGCAGGATCCAGGACTCGACAGAGACTGGCCACCGCCCTGAGAGCCTGCGCCGGTGTGCTGAAACGATGGAAAAAAATTGTCCCTTTAAGTAATAAAGCCTAGAAGACGTGGTTCGACACTTGAGTGATCCGCAAAGTTATAACTGTCCAAAATCCATTTTCTCCCCCTTTAATCGAAAAGATATCATATCACGAAGAGAATTTACCCTGAAAATCGTGGTGATCATATGGTATTGGAAGAATTGTATAAGAATTTCTCTGATTAATATTTACCACAATAAAGTATAAAATATATTCGATGAATTTTACTATGCACATAATAACATTTTTTATTGTGATAAATATTAGTCGGAGAAATTCTTATAAAATTCTTCCATATTGTCCACGATTACCATAATTTTCAGGGTAAATTCTAAGAGGAAATTCTCTCCGTGTATGAATCAGTCGCGCGTCTTATCAGTCTATTCGAGTGTCGTTGTTGAAGAAATTTTGATATAAGGAGAATGTCTTGGGTGAAATGGATCTCTTTCGGCAGAGACAATCTTTACCTCCTGAGCGATGGAAGTTTGCCTTATTTCGGACATGATTGATCTCCTCGTGGAGCGAATTCCGAATTTAGGTGATAGTAAAGAAATCATCGTATAAATATGAGACGATCAAAATGCGATTTTTCATCAAACACACATCACTGTTTGGCAAACACAGATATTTATCAATATTGATGTTGTATAATTGACACGTATAATTATTACTTCTTCTCCCTCTTTTATATATTTGTGTATACATACATTGAATTTATTTGATTTATTTGATTTAAATTAATTACTCCAGTTCTCGTCAGGTTTTATATTAAAAATAAAGTTAATATACACGCACATGAGAAATTTTGTACTGGTGGAATAATAAATGATTTAATTTTCCCATCTCTATTTTTATAGCATTGTAATAAATTCGTTCAATATTTTTCATTAATCTGATATATGATTTAAATTTATTCAATGTTTTGTATTGTATATCTTCTATACAGCTTTATTACGGTTTATAATTTTAAATTGATTAAATATTTAATTTACAATATTGAGATATTTATGATTATTTATAATATAAAAGTTAAAAATTATATAATTTTTAACTTTTATATTACAATCGAAGTCATTAATATATGAGTATTAATACCTGATAGATTAAATATTATAGGTATTTAATCATCTAAAAATTATAAACCTGCATATAAGACATAGAAAAAACAAATACATCGAATAAAATAATACAATAAATAAATAAAATAAATTTATTTTCATAAAAAATAAAATCTAAAATATATGAGTTATCATATAAATGAAATTTTTTGAGGAGAAAAAGTTACTTACCATTACGAAACTATAACCGATCCAAAGAGTAGTCCATCCAGCCGGACATTCTGGAATGCTTATCGATTGACTGTGTACCGCTATCACATTAGCCGGAACTTCGCACACCACGCATCTGTCGCAAGAAATTGTTATTTACCAAGTAAACTTGTGTGAACAGTTACCTAAGTGTGTCATGTAACACTTATAAAATACGTATTAATCAAGTATTTTTATAGTCTTACATTCTTAATTTAATTGGATTTTAGAGTGATACTTGAATTTGAAAAAAACACACTGAAAATATATCTAATTATTATATATATATATAAATTAATAACGTGAAAATAAGAGAAAATATCAAGAAAAGACAAACTTTTATATAAAGGTTTTGCTAAATTCGACTTTCAATTTAAATGTGTGGCTGAAAAAGTATCCGGTTTTTGTGTTATGTATATTTTCTATAAATATCCATTTTCTAAATGAATGCAATTTTTCTACATTCGGAACAAAAATCTCAGCGGGATACAACGCGCATATTGAACGTACCTGGAAATATAATCTCGTATCGCCGTCTCTTCGACGGGCATCATGGGAATTGGACTATTGGTCGATAACCAATAAGAACGATCATTGCGACTAGCGTAATGGCAGACGTTGTTGACGTCGCAGAACAGGAAGGGCATCGTCGAGAATTTTCTGACACACGAGCCGGCGTAACCTGTTTTGCAATAATTTATAGGACGAGTTAGATTGATTTGCATTTAAAAAAAAATTTAATCGCACGTCAATCTGTTATCATTATTTCCCCAGCGATTTGAAGTCGACACAAATCTCGCATTATCTCGTAGAAACATAGTATCCGATGCAGAAACACAGGGAAAAAACAAACTTGCTTTACAAAATGCAAATAAGCATTAACTGGAGAGATGCTAATCAGTCTACGTAATCACACAAAAATATATGACGCGATGCATATAAATTCGTTGAATAATGAATTTAAGTGCATAATGTTCAAATACCAGCAATGACAATTTAATGCGTATAATCGAGATTAATCGCACAAATCTCATAAATCTCTGGCAAATTACATCCAAAATGCGGGTCAAAGATTATGCTCTATTTATGAATATAATTAGGAAAAATGATAATAAAAATTGAAACGCGAAATCTTTTAATATATTTTTTATATGAGTTTTACGCATAATTTTAATAACTATGCTTATAGTTTATTTTTAAATCGAATTAGAAATATTTATATTTAGATATACATAATATCAAATAGAGACCATAATTTAAATAAATAAATTAAAAATATTATCTTGCACAAATATTGACAATGATATACAGAAAACTCACCTAAATCTTGAGAATGCGCTCTTTCGTCCCCATCGGTGTAGAGTAAACTGTATCCATCCCAGAGCTTGATGTGACCTGGCTCACAACCTGGCACGCTTTGACTTTGACTGTGCCTGACCAAAAGAATGCCAGTAAGATAGTCAGGTGTCGCTTCACACGGTGTACCAGGTTCGCCAGTAAGTCCTGGCAAGCCGGCCGGACCTTGAAGACCCGGTAGACCGGAGGAACCGACTGGTCCAGGTAATCCCGGCAGTCCGGGAGGTCCTGGTGGACCGAGGAAACCTTGCTCGCCTTGATACCGTCTAAGCCAGGGAAACCGGGTGGACCCGAAAGTCCTTTCTCTCCCGAGGGACCAGGCGGTCCGGATGGTCCTGTGAAAACATTTATGCTTTTATAATTTCAATTGCATTTTGTGCAGAAATAACGTGAGATCTCAATCTCGTTACAAATATTTTTTGAATAAAAAGATGACGTACATTTTTTATAACTTGTATTTTTTTATATTAAAGTTTTTCAAAAAATATTTAATTATTTAATTATCATTTAAATATTTAATTATTTGTATTTTAAACTATTTTTAATATAGTATTATAGAATTTATATCAAGATATAAAAATTGTGTGTAAGTACAAAATATATTTTATTAGAGAATTTAATATAAAGCTTACCGGGATATCCGCGATCTCCTTTAGGTCCCATCGGTGGCTCGATACAGTCATCACCCTTGTCACCTTTCTGACCTACATAACCAACAGCACCTATCAATCCGACTGGCCCAGGGAATCCTCTATCACCTTTCTCGCCAACCGGTCCAGGTAAACCATTAACACCGTCCCAACCTCTATCACCCTTTTCTCCCGCAGGTCCATCCAGTCCACTTGGCCCTTAAAATAAATAAATAAATAAATTATCAATTATTTTTTTTAACTTATTAAATATATGATTCTCTTTATTGGATTAATGTATGTGAAGATAAAGATATAAATATATTACATTTAATGATAAGAAAGAGATAATAAATTTTTGAATGAATATTTGTTGAATAATAAAAATATTGTATATTTTCCCGAAAAACTATAAACTTATATTTATATATAATATATTTTTTTATTATTCAATAAATAATATATTTATGCAAGGAAATAATACTTATTATTTCCCTTTTTATCATTAATTGAATATATCTATATTTTTAGTATATTATAAATTTTCTACACATACATATAAGAATAAATATATTTATAATACCTGAAAGACCAGGTTCTCCTTTTTCTCCTGGAGCGCCAAATAATCCAGGCAGCCCTTGATCACCCTTCGAACCTCTTTCACCAGGTAATCCTGGTACACCTTCAAGTCCCGGAGTTCCGTCACGTCCTGGAGATCCAGTCAGACCTGGTTGACCTGGATTACCTTTTTCACCTTGTGGTCCAATTGGTCCATAAGGCCCAATGTCTCCCTTCTGTCCAGGCAAACCAGGCAATCCTGGTTCACCTTTTTCTCCTAGTCGTCCTGGTAATCCATCTCTACCGTGTTTACCCATTAAACCTGGTAGACCTTTCTCACCCTTTACCGTAACTCCGGGAATTCCAGGAATTCCAGAAGGTCCTTGATCACCTATATAAGACATACAGTTTTTTATATAAACATTCATATAAAATATTAATAAAATTATTATGCATATTAATGTAAATAAAAAATTACATGCCTAATATTAATTTTTTTTCTTTAAATCTTCATTATATAAACACATTAATGACTTCTAAATTTTTTTATTATTACTTGTAGAAACAATTTTTTATATAAATATTCGTATTAAATATTAATCAAATTACTAAAAAATACGGTAAATAAGAAATTATATACTTAATATAATTTTTTTTTTTAATATTTATATACACACATTAATGATTTCTAAATTCTTTTTATTATTAATTAGTGAAATTTTATATAACTAAAGAACATACCTTTAGATCCAGGCGCACCGTGAGGTCCAGGAGATCCTTCTGGTCCAGGTAAACCTCTGTCACCCTTTTCGCCATCATAACCAGGAATACCTACGAGACCTTGATCTCCTCTCTCTCCTTTCCCTCCAGGAAATCCGGGAATACCTGGTTCGCCTTTCTCACCCTTAATTTGAATTATTGGCCCTGGAGGACCACGATCTCCCTTTTCTCCAAGTGCTCCAGAAATACCGGGCAATCCGACAATTCCTGAAATTCAGTTTTGTTTAGCACGACTCATTATGAAGTGCTTTATATGTTTAATTTTTATATTAATAATACGTTATTGAATTTTATTAAAATGTAATACACACACACACACATATATATAAAATACAATACGCGAAATTATTCAATATTAGATAAAATAATTAAAATAGAGATTGATTTATATATTTTTGAAAATTAATTATGAAAGAATGTGATAATTTTAACAATTAAATAAAATTTATTTTTAATTTATTAAATATTCTCTCGCTCTTTATTATTAATTCTAACTATTTTATATTTATTACAATATTTTATTCTAAATTCCAAAATATTTTATATTTGTTAAATGGCATTTATACAGATTTGATATTTATGTCTTACCTGGCAAACCGCGATCTCCTTTAACGCCATCAAGTCCAGGTCGACCGGGAGAACCTATATCACCGTCAAGTCCAGGAAAACCGGGTGCTCCTTGTGTTCCGACTTCACCAATTTCTCCAGGAAGTCCATCTATTCCGGGCGGTCCTGGTTCTCCAGGTATACCCGGTGGGCCCTATAAATAATAAAAACGATAAAAAGAATCGAAATAATTAGAACATTCTGTTTTAATGCTTTTGTTTTACATTATTTAAACTCACAAAGTCGCCTTTTATTCCCGGGAATCCGCGTACGCCAGTATCACCCTTTTGACCTTGGAATCCTGGCAATCCATCCCGACCAGGCGTACCTCTTTCGCCTTTCACACCAGGCAATCCATCACGACCAGTACTTGATCTGCCAACTTCTCCCTTTGCTCCGTCGATACCGTCTCGTCCTGAAGGACCTTGAGAACCTCGTATTCCAGGCATTCCTGGCTCACCTTTCTGTCCTTTTTCCGAAACTTGTCCTGGTTCTCCTTTCCTTCCCTAATTATAACAATAAAATGTCGTATGTACATAATAATATATTTATGAATATAATTTATATAATTATGAAACAAGAGAGAATTACCGGTAATCCCGGTAAACCAACGTCGCCTTTAATTCCTTCGTAACCGATAAGTCCCGGTAAACCGGGTGAACCAGGTAGTCCCTGATCTCCTTTCAAGCCAGCTATACCAGGACGACCAGGCTTTCCTTCCATACCCGGTAATCCAGGGAATCCTGGCGAACCTTTATCACCGCGTTCTCCCTTTATACCCGATACACCATCCCCACCAGGTCTACCTGGAGTACCAGGCAAGCCTCGTCTGCCTGGATATCCTTTCGCTCCATCAATACCTAGTTCACCGCGATCACCTTTTGCGCCTGGGAATCCTGGGAGGCCTGCTCTACCAGGTTCGCCCGGTAATCCAGGCTCGCCTATAAAATAATTATATTTCATTATGTTAAATATAATTAATATTTTTATTAATAAGAAATTAATATTATATAATTAACATTATATAATAAATAATTATAATTAATATAACAAATTGTGACAAATGTGAAAAATTTTTCAACAAATTAAATTATATCTCCTGATTTATTATTAAGTAAAAAGATTCTTATTTGCTATTGAGATTACAAATATTTAAAGAGGCTTTATTATATCATACCTTTGTTTCCATCGATTCCTGGAAGACCAGCCACACCTGGGGGACCAGGTGGACCAACTGGACCAGTATCTCCTTTTTCACCTGGTGCTCCTGGTAAACCATTTATTCCTGGTGCACCAAGGTCTCCTTTCTCGCCAGCAAAGCCTGGTAATCCTGGATAACCTACCGGACCTTCTTTTCCGGGTGGTCCTGGTAGACCTTCTCTCCTTTTTCACCAGGAGGACCTGTTAAACCGGGACTGCCCTTGACGGATATTCCGGGCTCTCCTTTATCACCCTTGGGAGCTGGAGAACCCGGGAAACCTCTAGGTCCTTCCCGACCAGGTTCTCCTGGGAAACCCATCGGTCCCATGTTGCCTTTATCACCACGTGGTCCAGGTAAACCTCTCGCACCTACGGGCCCAGGAGCGCCGATTGGACCTGATACACCGGGTGCACCCTAATTTTTAAATAATCTACATTATTTGAGGAATTATACTTCTCATAGATAAATCATAGTATTAATTACTATTTGTAAGTTTTTCAATAGCTTGTTTATTTTTTTTAACATTAAAAGTTTAAATTAATTATATATTTAAATTAATTAAAAATTAATATATATAATTTATAATTTAAACTTTTAATGTTAAAAAAATATATATATATTTACATCTTCTGATAAAGAGAATACATACCGAAAAACCTTGCAAGCCTTTATCACCAGGCAATCCATCTAAACCAGGTGGTCCAGGTTCTCCCTTATCTCCAGTTAAACCTCGATCGCCTTTGAAACCTTTCATTAAGTCAAGTGGCGGACATTGACCTAGTTACAGGAAAAAAAATATATCTCTTAAAATTTATATATGTATTTGTAATATTTTTCTAAAATATAATGAGTTAATCTTTGTCTCGCCAGTGAATGATAAAATAAATAAACAAAATTAACGACTTTAAGTCTTGATTTAATAATATGTCTTATTAACAATAAAGATATTTTTATGCCAGTTGGGTCGTTAATTTTGTTTATTTATTTTTTTAAAAATATTAAATATTTTTAAAAAATATCTAAAGAATTTTAAGAACACATAATAATTAAACAAAAAATTAATAAAATCTTACCAGGTTCGCCTTTAAAACCGTACAAGCCAGGTTCTCCTTTTTGTCCTGGAGATCCTGGTCTACCTGATTCTCCTGCCTCACCCTTTATACTTAATCCTTTCTCTCCTTTACGCCCAGGCGTGCCTGATCTTCCTGGAACGCCATCCTGTCCAGGAAATCCGCGATCTCCCTAAAAAGAGTAATGAATAATTCTTAACTTGATATAGTATAAAAATTTTGTCAGAAAAAAATTAATAATTTTTTAAATTAGTAATTCATTTTAAGGAGTAATAATAATTAGTCTTACTGGAGTGCCTTTAAGTCCTGGGAATCCTTCAAATCCAGGGCGTCCCTTCTCTCCCGCAGGTCCTTCTGGTCCTGGCGGGCCTTGTCGACCAATCTCGCCACGCGCTCCTTTATCACCTTTTTCTACCTTGAGCATACTCCGTGTCACAGTCGCTGGATTTCCAGACTCTCCTTGAGGTCCTGGAGCACCGGGTATACCATCTTTTCCCTAATTGAAAAATTATATTTTTTTTATTTGACAATGTACATATACAGATATATTGTATAACTCTGATTTAATTAATATAGTTTTTTAATATTTGTGCACAAAATATATTTCAGATATGTGTGCGTGCGCGCGTGTGTATGTATATCAATTTACATATACGTACATCAATTCAATAGTTAAATATTTTAAATAAAATATATATTGCATATAAACACATAAAATTTAGAAATATTGTCCAACGTGATAAAATATTCGATGCAATTAAAAGAAATATTTTATATTATAGATTTATAAATATCGATTTAAAAAAATATAAGGAAGAATATTTTAAAAGTATCGAAGCGAAGTTTTATCTGTTGGAAAACGAATATAAATTCTGCCATAATAATATATAATTTAAAGCGACATCAATATCGACATTTCTTTTCTCGCATAAAAATCTTTTTTTTAATAAAAATTCTAATTTAAATATACTTTTACTATGTAAATGCAATTATAAATATAATGAGAAATTAAATTAATATATATCGCGCAATTTTTCTTCTATTAAAATATATTACTTTACAATCGTTTTTATATGTCACCATAAATTTAAATATATTTAGCGCGAAATATTAAAAAACTTTTAATTCAATCAGAATTATTAACGTACCGGCGGTCCCGGAGGTCCGATCGCGCCTGGTAATCCGTCCAATCCAGCTTCTCCAGGAAAACCACGTTCTCCAGGCGGTCCTCGAGGTCCGGTAAGACCCGGGATACCGTCCAGACCGCGATCTCCTTAACACCCCGCAATCCCGGTAAACAATCTATGCAGCGACCGCCAAGATCTCCTTTCTCTCCGGTTGATCCGCTAAGACCCGGTATACCGTCTCTTCCTGGTGCTCCCGGTTCACCAGCCTCACCCGGCGCACCAGGAGCTCCCGGAATACCATCCAGAGAATCTCCCGGTCGGCCTCGGACACCCGCGTAACCTCGCTCTCCCTTTTGACCCTTTTCTCCATCAAAACCGGGCGTTCCATCCATTCCTTTCGGGCCCTGTGCAAGATATGTGACGATTTATATTTTTTTTTAATAATGAATTTTTTAAATAATTAATTTTTTAATAATTAATTTTTTAGTAATTAATTTTTTAAATAATTAATTTTTTAATAATTAATTTTTTAAATAATTAATATTTAATTTTTTTAAATAACAATAATAATCGGTCAATTAATCGTGATGGCGAAATACATAAATTTATATTTACCATTATCGACAATCCTTTTTCTCCTGGCAATCCTCGCGGTCCTGCTGGTCCCGGTGGTCCGTCAAATCCACGTGGCCCTAGACCTCCGGGAAATCCTGCCAAGCCAGGCTCACCTTTCCCACCTTTCTCTCCCGGTAAACCCTCCGGACCTGGAATGCCAGGTAATCCGGGGCCTCCTTGTAAACCTAGAGGACCTCTTGGTCCTGGATCTCCGGGAAAACCGTCTGCTCCCCGCGGTCCAGTGGATCCTGGGAAACCACGTGGTCCTTTTGGTCCTGGTGGTCCTGGTCTTCCTTTACCACCCTAGAACATAATATTTAATAAAATTATATTTGAAACATTAATTTAATAAATGCAATATCTACTACTAATAATAAATATAAATAAAATATGTATATTTTTTTTTTTATATATATATATATTTTATTTAATAATATATATTATTTTAAAAAATAAGACTTACTCCCGGTGATCCAGGAGGTCCTCGTAATCCAGCATGACCCATCGGTCCATCTCGACCGGGTTCTCCTTTCTTTCCGGGGCGTCCAGAAAGTCCTTCTAATCCATCAATACCTCGATCACCTTTTCGTCCAGGAGGTCCGGGAGGTCCAGAAAAACCATCCCTACCCTGAAATTGATGAAAGATCGTTTTTTTTTTTTTCATATTTTTTTCATTTAAACAATTTTTTTTAATCATAAAAATTTTATACTTACACGAATACCTGGAGCTCCAGGAAGACCCTTTTCTCCCTTTTGACCTAGTCCTCCGGGTATACCTTGATCACCTATAAATCCGGGTTCTCCCTTTTGTCCTTCCGGTCCCAATTCGCCCTAAATTTAGAAATTCAATTAAAATACATATAACGCAAAATCAATGATATTTCTTCACGTACCTTATCTCCCCTTAGTCCTTGTTCTCCAGGCGGACCAGTTACTTCCGAAACTCCTTCGAATGGCATAATAGGCGCGGTCGTACCGGGCGGTCCCGGGTCTCCTTTTTGTCCTTTATCTCCCTTCAACCCTTCGAATCCGAGACCCATGTTTCCTTTCGCTCCTTTCGGACCTGGTATGCCGGCGGTACCCTGAATTTATATATAATATTGCGTAATTATGTAGAAATATTTTTAATCAAACTATAATTGACACTTACGTAAGGGCCTCGTTCGCCCTTCGGGCCAGACGGGCCTCGGTCTCCCTGTAAACCAGGTGGACCTGGGGGTCCTCTTACGCCGTCCATACCGGGTTCACCTTTTTGACCTACGGGAAAAGCACCGGCATATGCTGGCTGACCCTTTTCTCCTTTAAGACCAGGCGGACCTCGCAAACCACGAGGTCCCGGTTCTCCGGAAACACCGTCACGTCCGGGAGCACCCTAAAATATAGCATCATAAACTTGAAACATTTTCTCGTATCAACATGAATATTATAATATATTGATATATAATCTGTCACGTTACATATATATATATATATATGTATATATATATTATATATTATATATTAATATATTATATATATTATATTAATATTTATATATTACATATATTACATATATTAACATATATTACAATATATTATATAATATATTAACATATATTACAATTACATTAATATATTAACATATATATATATTATATTAATCTATTAATAATATTAATAATATTAATAATAATATAATCGCGTTTTTAATAATGATATACATTAATAGAAAATTAATTATTAGATAATATTATGTATTGTTTATAACGATCTTTAATTTTTTCAACTTATATATTTAAAAATTTAAAAGACAGATATCTATTAAGGGAATAATTATGAAATATAATATTTGACAATTTTTTTTTCTTACGTCCGTTCCGTTGCAACCATCACGACCGGGTAAACCAGGAGCTCCCGGTCCTCCTTGCAGTCCTGGCACACCATTTATACCGGGAAAACCAGGCATACCCATTTTTCCCTTTAATAACATAAAATTATTTCTTGAAGAAAGTTTAAGTTTAATGTTATCATCATACGAGAAACACGTACTCTGTCACCTTTCACGCCATGCGGACCTTGTGGTCCGGGATCTCCTTTTTCACCTTTGGGACCTAGAAGACCTTCCGCCCCCGGGAATCCTCGTTGTCCTTTAGGACCTTGCGGTCCGATTAATCCAGGCGGTCCCTGAATAAAAATATCACGATTAATAAAATTATTGAGTATTTAGGAATTACAAAAAATATAATAAGTGATCTATTATACTTCATTATTCTTGTAAAATTGTATTCTATGGGCAATCAAAAATTTCTATATCTTAATTATTTATCCTTATCAATCTTTGCGACAAATACATAGAATAGTTCAACCATCGCTTTGACGTTTTTAAAATGTTAATTTTTGTCAACTAACCCTTGAGCCTTTTTCGGCGAAACACTTGGGCACACAGCATCCTGATCCGCTGCAATTACTGGGCGCTCCAGGCATAGGCACCACTTGATAATTGCTCGGATAATTTCGTCGTCTCCCGCGGCGGCGTAACCACCTCCGCGACCAGCGCCATACGTATTTCCGCTTCCGCGGTCGCCACCGTAAGATGCTCCTGCAGGAGCGCGGCCGTAAGAATCTCCTCTTTCGCGACCACTACTTCCGCGACCATAAGAATCCGCACCTCTCCCATCATAATTCGCTGCGAAAGTGCCACTATAAGGATCACCGGGACTTCCTTGGCCATAACTGTAAGGACTTCCGCCTCCTCGTTCACTTTCACCGGCGCCTAAAAAAAAATTACGAATTATTTTCATTAATTCAACGAGAGAATTTTCTCTTAGAATTTACCTTGAAAATTATAGTAATCGTGGGACAATATAATATTGGAAGAATCTTGTAACAGTTCTTCTGATTAATATTTACAACAATAAAAATATTAATATGTACATATAAATATATTATAAATATTAATATGTAATAAATAAATATAATTAATATAAATATAATTAATATGTAAAATTAATCGAACATATTTTATATCTTATTGTGATAGATATTAATATTTTTATTGTGGCAAATATTAATCGGAGAAACTCGTATAAAATTCTTTCAACATTATATTGTCTTACGATTACCATGATTTTTAGGGTAAATTCTGAGAGAAAATTCTCTCTGTGTATCTCTGAGAATTAAAAAAAAATGCCAATTTTTGACGTTATATTATATATTAAAATATTTATAATTATAAAGAAATCTGATTTCTCTCTATATAAACTTTTCCTATTTTAAACGCAATTTGTCTCATATCTGTCGAGATTAATTACCGCTGTATGTATCGTAATATCCTTCACCGCGTCCGTCAGGATAACCGCCCGGTCGATTTTCGTCAGTTCCTGATCCTGACGCGCCGCCGCTGTCAGGATATCTAGGATCGTAGCCGCCCTGCGACGTTCGATCGTGAGGATACCGCCTATTAGTATTGTAAGGATGACTCCTGTTTCTATAATAGTTCCATTTACGAGTCCACTCGTCACGATCGTAAGGATCAGTCCCGAAACTGTTGTTCCGTTTCCTCGCGTCCTCATATCCTAGACATACCGATCAACAAATGTATATAATGTCGAAATTTATATAATAGTAACTTCCGAGTATTTTTATTTCGCTCATTATATTGCCAAAATTTTGAAAATGAAATAATGACTCGTTGCACGCGATGAAAATGAATGTTCAACTCGAAAATGACTTCTCTACATGGAACAAAGTATACTAATATTTTGAATATATATTTTGATTTATTTTCATTTTGCAATAACAGATATAAATTGTGCAAAAATGCAGCTATTTAGAAAAATGTATTTTAATATAAATATTTTTTTATACAAATTCTCAACCTCTCTCTTTTTTCTAATTATCAATTTTAATTGAAAAATTGGTATTAATTAAATTTTGAAGACTGCATTTCGTTGCCAAGTGATATTGCAATACTGAATAGATCAAGAGAAGGACTAGATGTAATTGTATATTATACATCCTTCTATTTCTCACATAAATCATAGCAGCGAAAATGAGGCGGCATGTTGTCCAAGTACCTTCGTTGTCCGTAATAAACGATCTGTTTAAGTCTTTCCATCCCGACGAACTGTCGTATTCATCATCGCTACTGTTTGCAGGCCCACCGATATCACCTCGTTCCAAAGGCACGACGTGCAGCGGCCTTGATGTGAGATTGTTAAATTGCTAAAACAAATATTTGTGGATGAACAGCTTCGTAAATATAGAATCAGAAAAGTACGCGTAGAGCTCCGATCAATAAAACGCGATATCAGCGACGGATTAAGGGTGTATATGATGAAAAAAGCTGCAAATCGCGTCCTTTGTCAACCTCACCGATAACAAAATTGTTCGGACAAAATAATACCGCGATTAACGAACCGTGATAGAAATGTCAATGTGTTCGAAAATTTGAAAAGTATATCATTTAAAGCGCCGTAGTTGTAAAATATCATATGGCACTCTGTTGTTGTGGTTTTACAACGATTCTCGTTTCAAGATTTTTCGGAGCAATAGCGCAGAATATATAAATGTCAAAAAATTCGAATAATTTCTACGATATGAAAAATAATTTTTATAAATTTATCTTTATATATAATAATATAATATATGGTATATGTTATGTATATTATTATTAAATATAATATATATATATATATATATATATAACATTATATAATATATATTATATTTAATAATAATATAACACAACATATATCATATATTATATTATTATATATAAAGATAAATTTATAAAAATTATTATATATATATATATATAATATATAATATTTATATTAAATTTTGTATACAAAAAGATTAATTTTTAAAAATATATTTAAAATAGGAAATTAAAAAGTATGTTACGTATATTAGCGATTAGTACATCAGTGTGTACCGAATTGATTTAAATTGAATAAAATTAACATTTAGAGAGATCTATAGAATTAATAACGGCAGGGGAACATATATCTTCTTGATTTGCGGAAGATCTAGCAGCAAGATTGTTCTCGCGAGCGCGTGCGAATGACGGTTTATTCGTATAACATTAAGTTGACCTCGGCGTGGTGCGCCCATTAAATGGCATTCTTATGAGATTTATAGGTATGCATTCCGTGACACGTGCAAGAGAGGAGGGGAATGGGCTGTAAATTTAACGAACTCGCATTTCGCGCGCGGCCAAGATTTACGCTTTATCCACCGAGAGAGAGAGAGAGAGCTTCGTTCTTATTACTTTGCCTCGTGGCGAATGCCGCAAAAAGGGCCGCTTTTATACCGACCGATTGTACCAAGTATTATACGAAGAGGAGATAAAACCGCGTTTCTCTTTCTCGACGTTAGTGGTCACTTCTAATGTCTCCATCGTGTCTCTTCTTCGCCAAAGTTTCTTGCCACCGGCGGCCGTTTTTACCGAGATTAATTATGTTATCAGATGGGGAGGTTTCTAACAGGGAATCTCACTTTTACAATAGAGGAAACGCGAGATTAACGTTTAATATCTCGACGATTTTACGGAAACGAATAAGAAAATCAATTCCATCAATATTTTAATTTTTATCAATTACAACATAAGTATGTCTGCATAGGTCTTAATTTCAAAGATATTTAAATTATTTAAAAAATCAGCCCAACTTTTAATTTGTAATTGTACATTTCTTCGTTTATGTATTACTTCATTATAATTTAATTAATATACTCAGAAAAGCTTGAATAGTGATACATTAAAATAATGAAATAATCCCTTTAATAAGGACAGATTTATTAGCTTCTTTGTACATTTCTTCGTATTGTCTGTTCTTCTTGATAATGCTGTCATTTTAAGAATGTATAGCCTCTTAATATTTAATCTTAATTTCAAAAATCACAAGTACCACATTATTTAAAAAAAGCAGACAAGCTCAGTATAACATTATTTGTAATATATATATATATATATATATATATATATATATTACTTTATTTTTCTATTACTTTAATTATGTGTATTTTTATTTATATGTAATTACTTTATTATAATTTAATTAATACATTCAGAAAAATTTGAAAATTGTATAACACATTAAAATAATTAAATGACAAGGACACTAATTAGGACACATATTTATTAGCTTCTCTTTTACATATATAAATATTTTAGTATTTAAATATCACAAAAGGAACGATTATAAAAAGCTAATTCATGCGACGAAAATGAAAATTAAATTAATTAAATTAAATAAAATTAATCCGTTTCCCTAAGAACCTCTAAGGCTTGCATATTATGCATTTTAGACTTGCATATTATGCATTCTAGACTTGCATATTATTCGCATTCGGCACGAAGACAAGATGAAAACAACGCGATCAAGTGGCGGAATGCGCGGCTTTCCCCTTCATAAAGAAGCGAGAAACGATGTATGCACAGAGATTCGCGACGAATTTCCCAGAAAGTCATTGCCCCCATTTTCATGTTTTTGTCCTTTCCTTTTTGTATTCCCGAAGATGTGCCACGCGCTGACAGGAAGCGCGCTGGGAGATAGCCGGTTATCGTTTCGAGATGACGTACCGCCCTCGAACTGAGGCTGCACCGCATATATATATATATGCATATACAGGATGTCCCAGAACTGGCGGAAAGGGTTTTAATGGCAGATTCCTGGTATCATTCGGAGACGATTCTTCCGCAGCGAAAATGTCGAGACACCGATAATTCTCGAATTATAAGCAATTGAAAATAAAGGCTTTTTTGGAAACTAACAATAAGCCTTGTGGAAATAAAATATTAACTGAATTACATTCTTTAGTTAATTTTAGACAGTTTGCTTTAATAGAATCGTAATATAAGATTTTTATAATTAGTTTTATAAAGATACGTAATAACAAAAATTAGAAACATGCTAAAAATGATGGCCTCCCTGAACATTTTCATTAAGGAAAAATCGTCTCCAAATGATGTCAGGAGTCCGCCATTAAAAACTTTTCCACCAGTTCTGGGACACCCTGTATACTGCATATACTACATTATGATAGAAACGACGATAGCGTTCTTTGAAAATTTCATTCATCGACGCGCGAACTCGAAACCAGCTCGTCTCGTAAATACAGAAAAAAAAGCAGAATCAGATCGCGAAATTTTTTAATTAATTTAATTTTTGCCTCGAAGTAGCTAAAAATCTTGTATAATATTGTAATATCTTGTTTGATTGTTAATTCTTCATTAATTCCTTTAAATTTATTCAGACACAGATATCGTGAAAAAGAACAGCTAAAATAAATATTATCATCGACTTTTTAAATATTATTTCTTTTCTCTGAAATAATAATAATTTATTATCCCCAAATTTTTCACATATAATTCTATATAATATTTATAAATCAATTTTACATATATAATTTATTTATTTGAAGTTAATTTAAATGCTGTAATTTAAGAAACATTCGAGGATTAAAAATCGAGAATCAATTTTTTGCCAAAGAGAGTTTATTCAAAATTCTCTAAAGTACGACAAAACTCTCTCTCTCTCTTCATACAAATCAGAGTTATTTCTCTGACACGAATTATTTCATATTATAGATTTGTTAACATTAATTCCACATCTAATTCCTCTCTCTCTCTCTCTCTCAATTTGGTCCAGCACGAAATCCGATGATACAGACGTAAATCGCGCAAATAGCTCGCATCAAAGCGGCTTGAAATTTCTCTCTCGCTCTCTGCTCCAATATATTCAATTCCGGCTTATTGCACACTCATACGTCATCATCGCGTCCACGTAGATCATGCGAATGGGGGAAACAGAAATCAAAGCCATATACGCGGAAGTTGCTCGTGTCGGCCGCTAAACCCCAAAACCCGGTAGGAAAGCGACGCAGGGAGGTTTTGTCTCGACGATATAAACCCAATACGTGGCCGACAATAGGCTTTATATACAGAGGTAGAGCCGGTACGAATCTGGTAAACCGTGAAATTATCTCTTGCCCGACGTTACGCGATTCATGAGATACGATTTATGCAGACGGTGACTGCTAGCGCGAGTTGATGCAACGGATAATGTGAGGAATGGAAGGATTGGAAAGATTAAAAGATCCAAATGTGGATTGCGCACGTGGCAAATTGCTTCTCTCATACATGTGCATTTGTATAAAAAAAAAATGACCGAGTGTTATTTTTTAATTCAATTATATTATAGGAATTCTGTATGATAATTAATATTTTTATATGAAAAAAAATCCTGTTGCAAATTATATATATAGATATTATAAAAATTATAGAGGGGATTATGTTATCCTAAAGATGGTATATAATTGTAGAGACATATATTAAGAATTATAAATTTATAAATTTTACAAATCTTTAAATAAATTTTACTGTATTTAAAATACTAATCTAAAAATAAGTATATACTTGAAAATCAATTTTCACCAAGCTATTTAAAAATTTAATAACATGAAAAAATGGAGTACACCATTCACGAGATTTCTTCAAAGAAAAATTTAATTCTATCGAGGCTTCTATCGCGACTTTAAGGATATACTTTATACAAGGTGTCCAACGGTCAGGGAAATCTGGAAAACCGGGCATTGTTAGGGAAAAGTCAGGAAATTTTACTATTTATCTGGATTTTTTCACATTATTCTACATTTGTCTCAATAATTTAAAATTTTTTATTCAATAAATGTAAACTTTTCTTGACTCCAGCACACTATTTTCTGTGTTTAAAAATCGATTCATCTACCGCGTTAATTTATATTTTCATCGTCGTGTTATTTTATTTCAATGTGTTTGATAGAGACAAAACTAAAAAATTTGATGTAATATAAAAAAAATGATTATTTAAATAGTTTATAATGACATGTTTGTTTCGATTATCGTACATAATGCAGATTGTATAATTGATTGAAATTTTTGTTTTAACTTCCGAACCTTTTCATCGTTGACAAAAATATCTCAAGGATTTCATGATTGAACATTTAATTGATTTATCATATAAATATATAGATATGCAAATGATATATTTGAAAAAATAATACTAAAAATTAATTTCTTCTCTGACTTGGAAAATCTGAAAAAGTCAGGGAATTTTTTTCGATTGAATCCGCTGTTTATATATTAAGAGAAAATTAACATCTTCATCACTGACCAAAATCTCGACGTATTAAAATTCTTCGTGTATATACCTAAGCGCGTGTATAAAATATGCACCCCCATAATCTGCGAAACGCGATAGGCTATTTTCGCGTTAATCGAGAAGCCTGCTCGTCGCGAAAGAAGAGGCCAGGTCGAAAATGCATGCGCATTAATCTTGCAACGGCGTGATACAGCACCGTGACCGGGCCGGGTTAACGTCCCTCGAGCTAAATCAAGGCTTCCCGATCGGTCGATTTACAGCCATTACATCAATGGTTCGGAAGACAGGAAGACGCGTACGATATTACATGCGCGAAGGCCAGAAACCCGATGGGCGAAATTCGTGTGAGCGCGGTTTCAATTTCAATTCACGACTCGCCGCGCGGCAATTTCGTTTAACGAAACTATTCTAACCCAGTTCTCTTATTTTAGATACGCGATATCTTTTCGTGACGGTTCAAGAATTGTCCCTTTTATCGTCTATCTCGGCCGCCTTCGTGAATCCGCGATTACGCAACGTCGGAGAGTATATTATTGTGATGACCGACCGCGATGGACCCGCATTCTCTCTCTCTATGTGTGTGTGTGTGTGTGTGTGTGTATGTGTGTGGATCCCTCTCCTCTTTCTCTTTGTCCCTTCCCCTCACCGGCGACCTTCTTCTCGACGTCTCTTCTTCTTGCTCTCTCGTCTCCTCTTTTTCTCTCCGCCGCGTCTCGACCCGCCCGCGCCTCTTTTTTCATCTTTCGCCGTCACATCCCGCGCTTAAGACGCTGACGTTAACTCAGCGTAGGACGCCGGGGCATACGCTAATTCGTTTATTTTTCCGGATCCCGCGGCACGCGTATTCGTGAACGTAAATATACGCACCCGGTATCCGATGACGGAATTCCGCGATTTTTATTCGTTCACTTGCGCCATTATTTGCGGAACATTTGTGTCAGAGATATTTAATTAAGGGACAGAGAAGTTTGTAATTTGATTAATTAACCGTTAGCCATCGATACAGAATTTTGTGAATTTTATTAAATTGTTATAATATGATGTTATAGCAATACACTATATATAGTTCTTATGTAGCACTTAAATACTTCATAATTAAAACTCGCTGCTCAGTCTGGAATCTCTTTCATCTTCTCTCGAAAATCGCAAAAATTAAATAGAGAAATGTTAAATATATTTATTTAATACTAGATGTCTCTTAACAATTAAATAATACGGGAGCAAAATGAAAAAAGAAAATAATTCGCAAAAATAGATCTCAAATACCAATCTAATTTATCCGTAGCACATTTCCTGCACAAATCACACTTCCAAATTTTCTCAATTACAACAAAGCTTCAAGAAGTCCCCGCGTGAGAAATTTTCCGAGTGAAAGTGGACTTGCATAGGAAAAAAAAAAAGACGCAGCAGACGGAGACGAAACGAGACGCGACTGGTCCTTATCTCGGTGCATCCTCCTGCAAGGAGGACTCGAACGAGTGCTGTACTAAACGGGAAAAAAATCACTAGTCCCCGATCTTCCAAGCTCAATTGCCGACTATTTCCAGTAGTGACTAAGCTCGCGTGCACCGGGTATACGAGAAAGATGGGTGGGAGTCGCAGAGGTACGCGTATGTAATGCGTGGTAATAAAATTACGGTGAATGCAGTTACGGCGCCGTAGGCGGACGGGTCCGTAAGAGAGACGACTGCCCTATTTCAGACCTAACACCTTTCTTGTTCCCGTTCTCTGGGAGAAAAAACGGGGGAGGAACCCTGTAACTACGTTGACGGAAATTATACTCCAGAATGCAATCGGTAAATTATATGCGGAAAGGATATTTAACTAATATAGGAATTATCTATATGTATTAAACCATTATAGGAATTATTTATTTTTGTAAAAGAACCTGTATAAAATATCTGTAAGATTTCTAAAAAAAATGCAACATTTTAAGAGGGACGCAGAATGCAATCGGTAAATTATATGCAGAAAGGATATTAAACTAATATAGGAATTATCTATATGTATTAAACCACTATAGGAATTATCTATATGTATTAAACCATTATAGGAATTATTTATTTTTGTAAAAGAACCTGTATAAAATATCTGTAAGATTTCTAAAAAAATGCAACATTTTAAGAGGGATGCAGAATGCAATCAGTAAATTGCAGAAAAAATATTAAACTAATGTAGGAATTATCTATATGTTTAAACCACTATAGGAATTATTTATTTTTGTAAAAGAACCTGTATAAAATATCTGTAATATTTCTAAAAAAATGCAACTTTTCTTATTTTAAGAGGGATGCAGAATGCAATCAGTAAATTGCAGAAAAAATATTAAACTAATATAGGAATTATCTATATTTATTAAACTACTAATATAGGAATTGTCTCTTCTCGCAAAAGAAACCTGTATAAGATTTCTAAAAAAAAAAATGCAACATTTCTTATTTTAGGAACGATGCATGGGAAGGGTGGCTGAATAATTTCTCATGCACTCGCGCAATGGGAAGTCGTTGAAATAAGCAACACTTCGTTAACTTGTCGCATAATTCACTTGTTTTATGGACAACGCAATTGTGTACGAATGTGTATACGTATATTGGAAGTTCGTCTATTAAAGTCGGTAGTCCACTACAATAAACCACATATAAGAATCACGTGACGTTGACGTCACTTTATAAAACGGAGCCCTGGGTGCTTCCTACTGTGCTATTTGGCTGCTGTCGGGCATTTCGAGGAATTGGGTCGAAGGAAGAGCGGCGCGAATCGCTTTGACAGGAGAAAGCACCTGGATGCTACTGCCGAAAAATGTTAAGCGATCTTGTAAATCTCTCGGCGATACTTAAAGATTAAAAAATTCTAATTATCGTCCTTAAAATGACTTTAAAAAAAAAATCAAAAATTGTACCGAGTCTTGCAAAGTCAATATTTCTATTTAAAAAAATACGATTCTACATGAAAAAATAATATGAATAATGTAAATTGGAAGTCTGCGTTTTATTTCGAAAAAAGCAACATCGTGATTTTAATTTAATGATTCTATCGACATTTTTCCCCGAATACGAAAATAATATTGGAATATATCGTAAAAAAAATCACTCCTAAAAATTTGGAAAGATCTAATGAACGTGTATCGTATTATTGCTTGTGACAAGAAAAATAAAATATCCGGTTACATAATCGAACAGCAGATAAACATTAATCTAGTTAATGTCGGCTTTGTCTTTTGTATTTTATTATCGTATTTATTATTACTATATATATATATATATATATATATATATATATATATGCACTTTATTATCCTATGTATATATGAGAAAGGCAGACGAGAAATCAAATCAATCTCTCCGAGTTAGCGAAATCCTGGCTACTGTTTTATTACATCCTCCGCGATCACCGCTATATTTGTCACATGCCTGGTAATTTTCCATAAAACGACTCTCTTATCGCCGAGCAGTAGTGTAACGTGCTTAAAATACAGACTCCGCCACTTACATGAAACCCCCTTTGCCTCCTTTTCCTCTCCCGACAACACTTCTCCCCTTTATGACATTTCGCGTACGAACGAGACGCAATGCGTAAGCATTTCCTTCTTTTCATTCTCGAGAGCCTCGACTTTAATTCAATTATATTTAATTCGGATAACACTGAACCAATTTCGCGGAAATAATTACCGCTTCCATGACAGGATCATTAAAATTCAACATCGCAATCGTGCGTCATCAGCTTCTTCGTATCTAGCGTCTCTTCGAAAAATATCATATATAATTAAAAATAAAAAATATCATATATAATTAAAATAAAAAATATCATATATAATTAAAAATAAAAAATATCATATATAATTAAAAATAAAAATATCATATATAATTAAAAATAAAAAATATCATATGTAATTAAAAATAAAAAATATCATATATAATTAAAAATAAAAAATATCATATATAATAAAAAATAAAAAATAAAATAAAAAAATAAATAAAAAATTCTTTCTTTAGAAACGAGCGAGATCGCGCGAAATCGAGCGCAGCAAAAGTTGCTTTGAAACGCGATCCCGCTGGATCCCGCGCAGTTGGCTATTTTTTTTTCTTCGCAGCGAAAGTGCTACAGAATCAGCGCGATGCGACGTGGGTGTCGCCGCACGAGAAACGCGTGCATAAAGCGGCGAGTGCACGCGCGTGCAGCAGCATGCAGCAGCACGCAGATGAATGGATCGACGGAACAAGCCAGTCGAAACCGGTCGCGATGTACCGCAAGATCGCGAAAATATCACCCCCTCCCCTTTTTTTGCCCCCTCTCCCCAAACGGGGGATGCCAAATTGCATCCGCTGATTTTTCGGTCTCTAATCGCGTTTTCGTCGTTTCTGGAGCAAATCGTGATTTTAGATTTTCGTGAAAAAGAACAATTATATCTTCGACGCTTTTCGTAGGTTTTATATCACTCGAAGAAGAAATCTAAAGATAATTGTGAAATGAAAATGTGTAGATTATGATAATTGATGATTTTGAACAGTTTATATAATACATACCCCACTAACTATCCCGGCCAGGCAAACTGCGGATGCGATGAATCTGAAAGCAAAAATGCAGGACACGTTATTTTGAAAAATTAAGTGGAGAATAAAAAAAATTGAAAACTCAAAGCGCGAAAATGTGAAAAGAAATAACATCCCTATTAAAACAAAAATTAGGGTCAACATTGTCATTTCGTGATTAAATAAAACTGTCCCAAAATAACCCGCTTCACTCGAGGAAGGAAAAAATACCTCTACATCACCGGGATATAATCGATCATCAACTCGCGCGAATCAATATTGGGACAGTACAGATTGAAACGACCTCATAAGGAACCGCTGGAGACCCAACGAGAGTCGTCGACCACAGGAAATGGAGTAATGAATATTCATCACCGAAGTAAAACGCAAAAAAATCAGCAAACACAAAAACACGCGCACGAACACACAAAAAAATCACACGGCTGCGTCGAGGCTGCGCCAGCAGGACAATCGTCCCCTGCGCACGACCTTGATCGTCCTTGGGGTCCTCTCTTCAGGAGTCTGCGCGCAACGAGGGATGAAACTCTCCCCTCCGGAAGAGTCGCCTCTCGGGCGACGAGCCAAGTGGAAAAGCTTGGGAGAAAAAAGAGCCCGAAGAAGAAGAAGAAGAAGAAGAAGAGGTAAGAAAATAAGAGAGAGAGAGAGAGAGTAAACTCACCGCAATCCCAACCGGGTCATGTCGACCTCCCTATTCCTCGAGGGGCCTAGGGAGCCGAGCAAGGCAAGCACAGCTTAAGGCACGAGCACCGCACAGACAGGCCAGTCAGTCAAAATATCGCGCGGAACCGAGCGGACCGATGGTGTGTGCAGACCGTCCCATCCAGGGAGGGCTCTGAATGGTTAGAGGGAAGGAAGGAAGGTGGAGGCGGCCGTCCGCGCCGAGCCACGCCACAACGCTAGAATTCCTCCGCCGAAAGGACCGAAGCCTCTTCTTCTCTTCGGGCCTTCCGCTAAGTCTCGCCCCCTCTTATTCTTTCTCTCGGAGAGTTCCGAGTCTGCCTCCGGCTGAACTCTTTCTGGATCCGCGGAACGAAGAAGAAGAAGAAGAAGAAGAAGAAGAAGAAGGTAAAGGGTGTACCCAGAAGGAAGAGAAGGAACAACCGAATGAACGGTACCCTCTCCAGGGTTGGTAGGGGAAGACGAAGCAGAGGAACCGAGAGAAAAACAGGAGGAGGTAGAGAAAAGAAGGAGGTGGTGGTAAGAGAGCGAGCCGAGCGCTTCGCTCGCTCGCTCGCGCGGTCGCGCGTCGCACGAGGACTGTTGCGCGGTCACGAGGGACCCTACCGGTGTCTCTCGGAGCTTTGGGGGCCAGCCGCGCCACCGCCGGAGAGCCCGACGAGAGCGGCGCAAGGATACAGGCGCGAGAGAGAGAGAGAGAGAGAGAGAAACAAGGAGGGAGAAAACGGAGAGAGACGGAACTTCTTCTCCGCTGCCTTCGGGCCTCGAGCCTCGTGTCCGCCCTGTCTGTGTGTTAGGTTGCGATCAGGAGGACGGGCCAACCGACTGTCTGGCCCTTCGGTGACTCGCACCGACCACGAAGACGACCGCGAAGAGACTCGAGAGACGTCGTGTGCCGCATTTTTCTATCTCTTTCTCTCTGTTGGGGACCAGGATTCAGGTGAGGCGAAGAACCTCCTGGGGACCATCCTCGTCGTCAAGGTCAAGACGCGAGGGAGGAGGGGGAGGAGGAAGTGGAGGAGAGGAGGAGGACGACATGATGCGGCCCAGGGCCGCAAACATGTCAACAATTATCTCGCTCGTCCTGAGGAACCTGGTTCTTGCCCTACTGGTGCTCGCCGCCACGTGGATACCGGTCTCCGAGGCTGTGGTGAGTGAGAGACTTTTTTGAGAAATATATATATATTTGTGGTGCTCTTCTTGCCTTTTTGACGGATCGATCGATGGGTAAATTTGATAAAAGGCTGTTAAGAGCGGTAAATATAAAAATTCGAATTATGTTTGAAAGTGAAGTCAATATTCTTTAATCTAATGTCTAATAATGAATTGCAATGAAAGAGAATTAAACATAAGTACTCTTTAAATACAAAGCGATGGGCACCTGAAGAGGGACACCGAGATGGTGCTTCTTTGCGAAAAAGGATCTAGATCAAAGGTCGAGGCAGGTGGACTCTGTACGATACAGGTGGGGAAACGAGATAGAAATGTCAAATCGAAAGCCGCGTGAATCGGAGAACCGGAAATTGAGTGCGCACGTATATAGGATCGTGTATAATATAAATGGTTGCAATGAGAGCGAATTCTTACGCGTCGATCGGATTACATCGAGCTGTTTTTTTTTTTTTTTTCCGAGTCAATATTGCGCTCTCGTAGCCGGCTTCTTCTTGGGTTGGATGATTACGTCATCGGTTTGAGATACCCATCGCTTCGCGCTAATCAGCTGTTCATCGCTTGATATGCGCGCACATCATTTTTTTAATACCACCCGTATGCAAAACTTTAATATTTTCTTCATTCGGTAAGCTCTCTATTAGAAGCGATGTGTTTTATTTTCTTCTGGAAGAATGATTAATTTATTCGATGTGTAAATCTCTGGAAAATAGTCGCATTTTCCACATTTTATTCCGCCATATTGGAATCGCCATTTTGTATTTCAGAATTATTATTCCAAAGTTAACAACTTTAGAAACCCCTTAAATATCAAGTTTGTTTAAAATTATTAAACACACTTTCTCGGCATTTATTACTTTTCTTGAAAAATATTGTATATCCTGCTAAATCAGATTATTGAGTAATAATTAATTGCTTTTATATTTTTTTCCAGCATTTTTTCGCAATTTTGCAAAATGACTTATAAGCACGAAAATCAGTTGTCATTATTATGGAATACAGAAATACGATAAATCTTTGTAGAAATCATTTCTACGTAGAAACAAACATTAATTTTATCAAGCATTTATTTGTGATAAGTCGTAAGACGCGTTTAACGTAAAAATTACAATCGTTTTATTTACTGTTAACTCAGATTGACTTCCTCTTTCAATGAATAGATAACGTGACTTAACACTGAAATGATTAATTTGTCTATTTTTCTATTATGAAAAGAAATAATTTAATTCCTTAGAACGATATTAATAACAGAGAAATTTTAAAACTTCTTTTCGCGCTTTTTATTAAAACACATATATTAAATATAATTGTTCCTATTATTGGATTTTCGAAATCTCTATTTTATATACATAAAAAAAATTGTAAAATAATTTGGAGGAATTTATCATAAAATATACCATAAAAGCTTGAAGTTTACGTGACAAATTTTTGTTTCAAAGTCACCAAATTTTTCACTGACTGCAAGCCGATTTTCCTTCATTCACAAAATAGGACACTATTATTCTAATCGACAATCAACTCTCGGCCGTTTCAGTGTTAACGAATGTAGGTGTGTTTTTGCCAAGTTAACGAATGACTATGACATACCGGGGAAATAGTCTAATATCATGCCATATCTGGGGCAACTTCTGTCGCTCTTAGGTAACCTCTATGGAGGCTAATTCCAGCCTTTCAAACAATGCGTGGGAATGTCAGATCAGCGGTTTAAATGCCGATATCATTAGTCTGCTTCTGCGTATATACAAATATTTATTAGAATAAAATAGAAACGATACATGATTATTGTTATATGTAAAATGCGTGTCATTTTGTAATCTTGACAAAGTATTGAAATGAGACCGCGGAGACTTTCTATTTCTAAATGCGTCGTTACATATTGTACGTGCTTATTAGAGCGCAAAAATGACATTCAAATTTCTTTCTGTATCTTGAGGCGTTATTGGATTTCACTGTGTCATTCGACGAGATGATGATACGAAATTTATACCTACTAGCTTAAAACAATCATTTCGCTACACAATCGAGAGAAACATTTTATTCAACTTTATCTATCTTTTTTTTTTATTTTGACAATTTACAATTTTAAATATTTTATCATATATTGAATTAATGAAAAGCATATTTCCTTTCATAATATATTTAAACGGTGACGTATATTGAAATTTCAAATATTTTATTATTACATTGAATTAATAAAAACAAATTTCCCGTCATATATTTCAATAATCAAATATATCGAGAAGATAAATAACGTCAATATTTTCGAACATATAATTTGCAATGAAATAGAATTACATAATACTTGTTTTGTATTATAAAATATTTAAAATATGTAAAAGATGCGTACGTAAAAAAATGCATTCGTGATTCGAATCGAAACAAATCAATTTTACAGAACTCCGGGCGGTGGATGACGAATGCGGTCTATGAGTATAATGTGCATTTAACTAGTAACAAAATTTCGTGTTGTATGAACCGGTTCGTGTAACGATCGGGGAGAAGATCGAGCGACGTGTAACGGATGATTAAATCGGGCGTGAAGCCGATAGTAATGCAAGAGACCCACGTGGAAAGCTTTCATCAGCATGACTTTGAGAGCGTCGTGTAATCCGAGAGCCCGAAATTGCGGCTATTTGACATAATCTCGTTGCAAAACGAGACATTATGGTATCTCGCTTATAATCGATGACGAGGCGTGCATGTCAATTGCCCTAGAGCAACGCTTTTCCATTTGGCTACGCAAATTCGTGTATATTTTTAGGTATTATATATTTTTCGACGAAAGAATTAAATAATAATAAATTATATAGATCATTAAATCTTTGTAAAAAATTAATAAGCATTTTTATTATGTAATATAAAGGTGTATTATTATAAGAAAAATATAGTACATTGTTAGCTACAGATTAAAAATGTTGTGTATTTTTAGTTTCATATTACTGTGATGTGTAATTCAATAAATATTAATTTTCTTGAAAAAAATAATTAATAAACTACATATATATTCGAGAATTTTAATTGTAATATATATATATATATAATATATATATATATTGTTTCAAGAAAATTAATATTTATTGAATTACACACCACAGTAATACATGAAAATAAAAAACGCATTTTTAATTCTGTAGCCAAAACAATATACATATAATATTTTTCTTACAATACCTCTTTATATTACATAGTAAAAATGCTTATTAATTTTTTACAAAGACTTATGATAATCTATATGTGATAATTGATATAAAGGTGCGATTTTGCCATTAAATTTGAACGATGTCATTGAAGTCACCCGGTAGACAAGTACGTGGGCGATTTCGACGCTCGGGCAGAGGACACATTCGTTGCGGAAAACGTGAAAGAAAATATTCGGCACAAAGGGAGGGACTACATTTTTATTCTTATAATCTTCTCCGATGTGTCGTCCACCATTATGCCAAAGTCATTCAGAATCGTGAGAATCCGCTCCCTAGTGAGAGCTGTGAAGTCGTCCCCCGATGAATCCAACTAATATATCACGAAGAAATTTTACGCAGACTAACAATAAGAATCGTACTGTGCTCCTTTTTATTTTAATTTTGGGGATTATTATATTTTTTTAGAATATTTTCTATATAGTTAAATATAAGTTGCTTATAGAATTATATATCTATGCATACATCAAACGTATATAAACATCCGGTATGAATTACGCCTACATGAATTACTCAATACTGTCTTTTGTACCGTGTTTTCAAGCTTTAAACAAACTTTTATATGCTAACGTTGCAATAATATACGATATTATCTTAATCGAACATCTCCAAACTACAGCTGTAACAGTTATTTATTTTCGAGACAACGTAAGAGTTCGGTTGTTTGCGTAGGTTTTTATTACTAAATTATTCAGCAAAGATCAATATGCACACATTGCTATGCTTTGCTAAGATTTTTTATTTTTTTTTTATGCTCAGGGAATTATTAAAATTTATTTTGTGATTCATAAAAATAAAAACGCAATTCGCAACATTGCAAAAATGAAATAAAATTAAAAACAGATACGTGAAATAAGAAAGTAAAAAGTTATCTAGTAAAAAAAATATCTAAATTTTATCGACTTGGAAAATAAATTAAACAAAAATTAAGATAATTAATTTTAGCTATATAACATAAATATAAAAATAAATAAATAATTGCGTAATCCTGTAAAAGAGTATATAACGACGATAAAGATACGATCATTTTTGCAACTGATAGTATTATGAAATAATTCATCGAAACGAATCGCAATATGTAGGTTCGCGAAAAACTATAGAAAAAAAAGAGTCTGTCGTTGTCGCGATAACGATAAAGCTTTCCTGTCCAAAAAAGATAATCATTGCAGGAAGAAGCCCGACTCGACTGTTCGCTTTGCAGACGAAACATGACGTAGTACCAGACAGTCTAATATCTATTCTATTATATATTGTGTATGTGAGATATGTGTGTCCATTATATAGTGTGTTGGGGTCAATAACCAAAAGAATGAAATGATTTGTATCACGAGAGACAGAAAGAGAAAGTTTCAAAACATTCAACATTTAATATACATATGTTATCACCTATAAATTTAGCATCAAAAGTTTTTAACACAATAATTAAATAATAATAATAATAATTAAAATTATATTTATTCTAATTTATAATGTTATTATATTCTTTTATTGTTTTTTTATTAATTATAAGAACCAAATTACGAGAAGAGAATTTAATCGATAAGAGTGAAACATGCTTGCGATTTGATTTTCTGTGCCGTAAACTTACACCCACCGCATTGATGCAATATATTTCGAAATTTAATATATATCGCTTCGCGTGGTTTCCCGAAATATGTTCATTGAAAACCTCGCACAGCCGCGGAATATGTAAAGCAGTTTCCACCTACGCGCTCTTATACCGCGGAAGTCTCGAACGGAAGATACGTATAACTCTTCTTTGGGATTTCGTAGCTCCACTTTT